ACCAATTTTAGACACTTTATTACGAGGAACTTGTTGCAAAAACGCATCTCACCATGTCTTTCGCTCAGTCTAAAAGAATGCCAAAGGTAACACAGTTTGACAGGTATAAAATTGTATTTTTACACAAACAAGGTCATTCCCAAAGAGCTTTTAGCCAAAAACTTGGCATAGCTCAACAAATCGTAATTAGAAATGTAGACATGTGGAGGACAAAAGAAGAAATGGCAGCACTAAAAAACAAAAAAAGTATCTGAAAGTCAGCCAGCAAAAACCTGACGTAGTACCTGAGAGATGAATCTGGCCCTTCAGTTATTCCATCTGCTGTTTGAAGTCTCATTAGTAATGGTCTCAGTGGAAGAATGGCTGTCAAGAAGCCACCCCACTCACCTACCTATTTCCCACCAAAATATAAAGGAATGAGTGGTAGCTCAAGACTATAGCTAATAAGTTGTACATGATGTCAGGGTCGGTTTTGGACCAAACCAGTTTGATCGAGCAATTAAAGGTAATTTTATCTTACATAAAATAAGTATTGATATATTTAATATATACAGACAATAAACAATGTTCCTCTATAAGAGGAACAATAAACTCAATTTCTGGGCTAAGTGAGCCAGAGTTGTATTTTTGTATTTTATATCCTTCATATCGAAATCAATCCACAGACTGAGAGTTTTACAATTGGTTCTGTTAAAGCCAGTTCAAAACTGTCAATTTAAAGCATCTAATATGTGAAAAGTTGCATGAAGGATGTTAACAAACTGCACATTTTGTACAAACTTCTATTTATTCTGCAAGGAGTCTGTGGCCGTGATCAATAAGATTATAAACCCCCCAAATTGCCTTTTAAGTAAAAATCCTCCTAAATCTTTTGAGGCAGGAGCAGATCATACCCTAAATCCTGCCTTTAGCTCACTCATACTCCCCCAGCTGTCCCAGCAGATGGTCCAACCCCCCGAAAAAAAAACACATAGAAACACACACATACACAGTATTTCTCTCTTAGTAAACAGACACACTCAACACACACACACAAACAGCTCATTCACACTGACAGCTCTGACCCAGGTGACAGGAAGAGAAAGCAGGAGAGAATCAGGGATGAGAGGATGGGGTTATGTACAGGAAAGGAGAGAGTGAAAGAGCGCAGTCCTCTGAGGGAATGAGAATCGGATGTGACATGACAGCAAACCAGACAGCTTGTCTTTGCCATCCTCACCGACAACACAGAGCGGCTTTGAAGTCAGATTTTACCTTGCGCCTTTAACGCTGACTTTTCTGACCCAGTTTTGTACAACTCACTGTGTCACTGCAAACTCTCTCAGCTGTGAACACCGGCAGCCTCACAGATCTACTCACTTACTCTGAAGAGACGAGGAAAAGCAGCAGGAGTCACAATCACTCCATTGACTGTTTCCTCCTCTGACCGTTCTCCCCACCAAACATAAAAACTAAAATGACGTGCGCGTGACTCTCAGAGTCTGGCATCCCATTTCCTGACAGAAGGAAGCACAAGAGGAGTGTGTCTGTGTGTTGTCATCCTCACCCCCCTCTCGCACATGCTCGCACACTTGCACATCTCACCCCTGACTTTGTCTCATGAGTCTCCTTTTGATGAGTAGCCTAGCTGAGGTCGCGCCCCCTTCCATTCACCGCAGATGGTGGCACAATAACAGGCGGAGAGCTGAAACAGACTCCCCCTGAGACGCCTGCCGCACCCCGACACAGAGCCACGCAGCTGCTGCAGGGACCCTGGTGATATAGATACCCATACACCCCCCCTGAAAAAACCCAGACCAAAAGTCTAAGACTCGTAAAATCCACAAAAGCCTCACCGGGGATCTGGGATCAGGAAGCTGAACATACACACAGAGAGACTCATAAAAGTGGGAGCACACAGAAACACATGCACCCTGGTGCGACTGCTGTCTCGCCGGATTCTGAGCTGAGAGCAAAAACAAAACGACGGACAGGACAGAAGAAATAAAAAACATGTTGATGTGAGTCAGCTGATGGCTCAGTCTACACTTCATCTGCACTCAGTGATTCCAGAAATCACATCACATGGTTTTTAATGATGATTAGAGCATTTTGTTTGGCTTCCAACACAGCACAACTCAATAAAAGTAACCCTTTCAGCCTCTAACGCAGTAAACAACTCACAGTCCTGGGTTTTTGGATTCTTTGTTATTCTAGAAACTTCACAAGTCGTACCTATAAGAATGCAAAGTCTGTGATGAATTTTACAAAAAGGGAAACGAATTCAGATATGAGCTCCACTGTTTATGTCTTTATTTTTGTAAAATTCTCTCAGCATGAAGCTGGCAGGATTTGCAGGAGATCGATCGCTGCAGACTGGGTGAGGACTCCGAGGGCAGTACTTACGACAACACGGCCACACTTAAACACACACCCGCCCACGCACGCACAACCAAAACAGTCTGCTGTGTGTGAAAGCTCGTGGGCCGTGCCATTCAAACGGAGTCTGGCAGAGATGAATGCGGGTGGATGTGAATCAGGTTTATAAACAGCAACGAAAAATCGGAATCCGAGTGATAAATGTGATAAATGTCAGCGTGACTGATTCATTTCACGGTAGTTATTCAGAGCAGGACACAGACAGCGACAACTATGACAGTGATAAATGCCAAGGATATGATTTACGTAATTGTTATGCAGCGTTAATAGAGTTCGTTGTAACCGAGACGTTTGGCGGGCAACAATGGGGCTAAAGCCGTGTCGTTTCTTCATGTGACACCGAGGCCTGGAAAGCGGCAGGTTTTCATTTGGAACAATCACTTCGCCGGCTCATCTTGCTGATTAATTCATTAAAAGTTTTCTGAAGAATGTTTTGTTCTAATTAAAACCTATGTCAAAGATGTGAATTATCAGCATGAGAAAACAAATTTGTTTCTGAATTTGCGGATGATCTCTTTGAGAATGATGACCACTCTGTGCACCCTGTTACGCATGCCCCAGTGGGCCGACACATCCGCCATCTGGTTAGTGTTTTCTTGCATCCTCATTAACCTGCTCTCTTCTCTGCTTCACTTCTAGTGCTGATTGTCTGCGGAGGCACACCTGCTGAGCCTCGCCTCTCCTCCATCAGCATCGGTATTCCTCAGATGCTTTTTGAAGTTTCGCTTATTATTAGATGAGTTGGGAGTTGCTGCCTGCCTCTCTTATTTGTGTTCAACACTTGCAAGTAAATTTTCTTTTATAGAAATAAACGTTTCCTGAAAGGCAGCAGTGTTGTGGCATCTCTTTTGAGCCATGAACCCCTTCAGTTAGTGCCGGGGCAGGCAGTATTTCTCCCCAGAGAGCCATACTGACTTCAATAAAGTAAGCAAAGAGCCAGACATTGGATAACTCAATCGAAACCAGGTTATATTTAACATCTCGCCAGTTGTCTGAAATATACCACTGCATAGATCACTGATGAAACAGACTGCACTGAAATTGAGTTAAACAGCAGTACAGACTTCCTGCAATCATTGGTCTTCAGATTCCTGTGCATGATGCTGCCTCTGATCGACTGGCTGATTCGTGGGTGTTGTTTTCCTGTTTGCTATGTCTGGCCCAAAGGCTATATTTTACCCTTGTGAGTTTATAATTTCTTAAAGTAAACCCATTATGCTCATTTCAAGCTCCATATTTCTATCCCTTGATTCTACTATGGATGCTTTGCATTAGGGCTGCACAATTAATCGTTAGAAAATCGCAATCTCAATTCATACTTATGTGCGATCTCATTTTGAAATGACAACGATTTAAAAAAAAAGAAAAGAAAAAAAAGATGACGATTGTACCGCATTTTGTTCCGGGACTTAAGCTGCATGAAAACAAGCGCTCACTCTTCCTGCTCAACAAATGACAAGGGCGGAGGCTCATACCACGTGATACAGAAGTCAGCTGGCAGGGAAAAAACAACGGAGAGCACGTGAGAGATGACGAAGCTGTAAAGGCCAAGAAAGTGACAGGAGTCAACCACCCAAACATCAATAACGGGAACCGTATACAGCGCTTCCCCATACCCGTCAAACTCCCGCAGGCACAAAGAAATTACGGAGGCTATCACTTATCACCTGACCAAAGATATTTATATTGGAAAAGAAAATCGTGAGAGAATCGTGATCTCAATTCTAAGCAAAAAAAATCGTGATTCTCATTTTATAAAAAACTGTGCAGCCCTACTTTGCATGATTCAGAAGTTCAGTATAATGCTTATTTATCTTATGCAGGGTTGTTGTTGTTGGTGGTCTTGTTGTAGCCCCTCAGTTCATCTACTGTCTAAAACAAGCTGTTTCAATGCCTCTCCTTTTATCCAACTTTTTCTGATTGGCTGCCCCTTGCAAATAGAAAGTTATAAAAGCGGGTGGGAGGGGCTGAGAGTCAGAGATGTGTGTGCGATGACCATAACTTGATATCTGCTCTCAGTGACATCATAAAGAGCCAAGAGAATGAAAAAAAAAAAACTGAACCAGAGCATTTGAAGCAGTTTTTTGCTGACAGGGATTACTTGTACATACACTTACCTCATTATCATCATTGTATCAACTGTAATGTATCATCATTATTATAACAGCATATTTATGGTAGAAATTCTGGCTGAATATTTTCTGCCAGAAGTTGTTTGACTTGCGCCTGTTCATAGGATAACCCACAGTCAGGTTAGGAACCATTGCTCCGGGAGAAAATCCCCCACAGATGTTAAATAAGTATATGTTGATGTAAGGTAATGTAATCACACATAGCTGTAGAGAACAAAGAATCAGATTTCAAACTGAATAATCCATTTTAAGATACCATGACCGAGGCCATAGCACTTGGCGGTTTATTATCATTTCAGTCATCTTTAGGAGCAATACTTGCATTGCAATTATCTGCAGGCTAGTATTGAGTACTTTTACCCTGAAGGTAATGTGCATTACAGGCTGACAACATAAGTATAAATGAGTGCGGGATAAAAGACAAAGAAAAAAAATATCTCTGTAACTGACCGTGTGAAGTGGTCCACAATCGCTCCCACCAGTTCACCCACTCTGTCCTGGTTGGGGCACAGCTCGCCTCGCTGCAGGCACAGCAGGACGTCATCCTGGGAGGACGTGTGTAACGCCACCATCTGGTCGACCCCGGTGGTCACGCTCACTCCGGTAAACTGCGGAGAAAGAACACGTTAAAGAAAGATCTAGCCAGATCCAAGCTTGAGCTCATGCTTTGTATGACTTTTCATGTAATATGATACACTGACAGATAAATAGTCTCTAGTGAGGGTCTTATAAATAAATGAATACATAGATTTTAATAATTTTGGTGCTTTTATTGATAAATTGCTTGTTATTTTTTCTGATTATGGCGGCATTGGAACTCCATACCCTTTACCTCCAAAGAAGTATTTCATAAATGCTGCAATGCTATTTTTATTTTAGCAAAAGACCAAAGGTGAGAATTCTCCTTCCTCTAAAGCCTCATGCATGACCTGCCTATAGGCTGAGTGACCTTTAATATTCATCGACACAGATTGCAGCATTGGGGATTCATTTGTATAAAATTGTCAGGGATTATCACATCAATGTACAAAACCTGTGAGTTTAATACAGTACAGCGCAGCATATCTTGGATCAAAAAAATTCAATGCCATAAATGAAGCCAGCGGATTATTTCTGCTCAGAATATGTAAGCTGGAGGTGCACGTGTGTGGGTGCAGTGAAGGGGAAGTCATGAGCTGTGACCCAGTTGGAATTAATGTACTGATTTACCGCAACGGAGGGAGAGGAAGGCGGCAGGGTGCAAATGAAAGAAGGACTATGAGAAAGGAAAGAAATATACCCATATAGGTCAAAGACAAAACCAGAAGAGACATGCAGACAGAGAAAGTGTCATGGGTTTTTAGAAAGCAAATGGAAGGACAGAGTGGACTAAGCCTCTTACGGCCTCCAGCCATACAGGTTAATCCAGCAGGGACGACAATGTGCAGGATGTCCCAGCACCGACAAACGCTGGTTAAACCTGCCCTTCAGTGAAGGGGAAGCTGCACAGCTGATCTAGCAGCGTGATACTTTTTACTGTGTTCCAAACATATTTTATAAATTACATTACTTTACTTTGTTCTATTGTATCTGCAGCACTTCTCTTTGCAGTAGCAGTGCTTAAATTACAGCTCTAAAATAACACAAGATGGATTTGATTTGAGGCTCATTTATGATCTTTTCAGTTAATCGTTTACTTCAGTCTTTAAAGTTTCACTAAATAGACAAACAAACTTTGGCTGCACAGTACAAGACCAGATCTTTTAGGTGCTCACTCTGTCAACCCAACAAAAAAAATCTAAAAATATCCAATTCATAATTACAATATAAACGTCATAAATGCAACTGCCCTGCATTAGACATTAGGGGCTGTTTTAAGTTTTGCCTTTGCCTTGATTATCTGCTTTATTCTTATGATTAAGGTTTAAACTGGAACATAATCTAGGGGTGTCAAACATAAGGCCTGTGGGCCAGAATTGACCTGGCAAAGACCCCAATCCAGCCTGCTGGATGGCTTTGGAAAATGTGAAGGAGGGCAGGAATTTTGGACTTTTAAGTCTTTCTTTGCTAGTTTTACAGCTTTTCCTTCCCATAAAAATCTCCCTCATTCACAAGTAATAAAATGATAGATATCTGTCATCTTACACCTTTCTCCTTACAATTGAAGCTCAAAGACTCATGCTGACTGATTTCTTACATTTACAACAGCAGCATTTCTTTACCATGTAGGAAAACTGAGAAATAATGTTGAATATTGCACTTTTTTTGTCGTATCTCCTTGATTAAATCTGTAGTTAAACTTTTTACACCAACAGAAATTGGAGTTTTACGGGTTCAGCCCACAGAAAATCAGAGCGGGCTGCGTGTGGCCTGCAGTATAAAATGAGTTTGAGGTCCCTGACCTATGAGAAGACTTCATGGTAGATAAATCGAACCTAAATTCAATCAAGACTGACTCAAAAGAGAGATAATACAAAAAAGCAAGACATGTCCCCCAATAAATTGTAAATTAGTATCTATGGGAGACTTCTATACCTCAAAGATCACGCTCTTTCCTGTTTTATTTTGAAATCACTGCTCCTTGTGTATTCCTTTCATTTTTATTTCTTCCTTTTCCTTGTCCCCCCTCATTGGTCATCGTCTGCTCCACCTTGATTAATCCCACTTGTTCACTATTTGCCAATAGCTCACCTGCAGTATATAAACTCGCCATCTCCTCTGTTGCTGTGAGATTGTGTTGTTGTGTAAAGTTTTCCAGTGTTTCTATTGTTTTTAATATTCCTTCCTAGCAGTCTTTTAATTTCACTTTGATTTCTACTTTGAACATTTGACTGTTCTAAATAAAAGGAGCATTTTTCACATAGTTTATCTTATAAACAAATCAAAAGTTTAATGACTGGAAATACTCCAGTGTGAGAAACGTCCATTAACTTTCTATCAGTTATTTAAATGACTAAATGTTTTAACAGTAACTATTTAAGCTTACAATATGTTTATGGAAAGTGAATGCTTAGTTTTTAATTTTGGCAACATTTTTTGAAGACTGAGTAAACATAAGCGCCAGTTAAAGTCAGGTTTTCTGAATTTGACCAGTCAGAGGTACAGAGCTCGTGTTTTGCTTCAGGTTTTGACCTCAGCTGTGACCTGGGTGAGAGTCAGAGATGCACTGCTTCTTTAATGCTGTATTCTGAGTTTCTGACCTGGATAAGACTCATATTCCTCATTCTGAGCACCAGAGTCTAATGGCACCAGCTATCTTTAGCCACTCCGCTGCTGCATAATGATAGTTTTTAACCCTCTGGCATGCAAGCGCTCTCTCTCTCCACCTCTCTTCTATCACTGCTGGACGTCCAGCTGTGCTGACTCATTACATCTCACGAAGGTGTTCTCAGTGAAAGCTATTTTGCATTCAGTACCTGAGTCACCTCAAAGTCTGATGGCACTTGGCAATCTCCAACTTTTGTTGGAATCCATCTTAGTCTCAGATTCTCTACGAATTTACCTCAGTGAGGAACTAATGTAAGAAAAAAATAGGAAATATCATAAACTAGTCAAACTATTACATACATCTCAATGTTTTAGTTCAGTTTAAGAAGTTTTCCTGGCCAAAAAAGAAGGTGTGCTACTAGCTATTACAAAACACACACAGCCACTTTATTAGGTACAACAGTTAAGCTGCTCATTAAGTCACTAATCAGCTGATCACATGGTGGAAGCGCCATGCATTTAAAGATGCAGACACTGTAAAGACAATTACATACATTTAATTCTCTTAAATGTATGTAATATGTATGAGAGAGCAAAGACATTAAGCTGCTTGGTCAACAGTTCTAGAGTTGGTCTCCTCCAATCTTGACTGCATGCTTACAGCTCTGCTTTAAGACGCCTTAAGTCTGTGTGGTGATAAAAACATACTTTTACCCGAGACAGAGGTAAATGCCAAATGTCCAAGAAGGTTTTTCTAGCATTAAATGCACCATCACAGTACCATAGAGGTTTGGCTAAATGCCTCTACCTGAAACAATACCACCCCCCCCCTTTTTTTTTTTAGATATAAAAAGAGACCCAGTGTTCCACATGTTAAATTTTTTAGTCAACCCTTCACTTTCTGTATGTTTTCCCAACACCAAGGTTCATGCATCAAGCTGTAGAAGAAAATTATGATTTCTGTTATTTCAAGAGAACTTCAGCATCATATTAAACACTTTCAGCCTCTTGCCCTGCAGAGCCAGCAGCCCTTTGAGATTCCTGATCCAGTTTCTCAGCTGAGGTTCGCCCCATATGGCAGAAAATCTAAAGCTAAGCTTGGCAGCTGCCTCCCAAGCATGACCACGGCGTCACATGTTGACAACAAAACCTAACGTACACACACAAACACGCACACAAACACTGACTGACTGATCAACAACCTCACAATTCTTAAAGGTCATCAGCCCTGAGAGCCAAAGGAAGACAGTGTTCTCTCAGTGTGAGTCCTCTTATTGCTCTTGTACTTGTTGATGGATGGCTGTGACCTGGGTCAAACAGGACGGAAGATGAGTAGGTGTGTGTGTGTTTGTGTGTGTGCGTGTACACAACTGAGGGGACAGAGTAGGAAATAAAGAGCAGCCAGAATAAAGCACAAAAAGTCTGACCACATTCATAACAGCTGTTATTTTTGTATTTGTACCACACTTTAAGGACAAAACCTTTTATAAACCTACGTCTAAGGTGTAAAAAGAAAAAAAGTGCCTGAATTAAGTTAAAAGACTGGTTTCATAAACTAGGAAACGCCACAATTATTTACATCTTTTCTTGAAGGCTTTGCTCAGCAAACATGGTCAAAATATTCATGTTATTTCCTCAGCTGAAAAAAGTCGAGATAAATCTGCCAGCTGTCAATATTCCTGCTTTGGTGATTTTCTACCACCAAAGAAAAATTTTCCAAGTTGCCAGTTGCAGACCTGGAAACCTTACGCACAATTCCAGGGCTCCGTGTCCAGCTAATCTCTTACTCGGTTGGCCAGTGCTCTTTAGTGCAAAGACACGCTGAAGACGAGACTTTAAAATAAATCTACATAAATCTCCTGGTTTTCAAACCTTAATCTAACAGTAGTCCACTTTCTCTGTTTTGTAACAAAGAAAGCAGTCTGATTGTTAAATGATTTGGTCACTAAATGGTTATGAAAAGAGATATATTGTGTCAAATTAATTTGTGAGTTTCCTCTGTGATTTGTCTTGGTTTTGTTCTGTGCTTCGTTCTTCAGGAGCTAACAGGAGACTAACTAACGGCATGAGCTACACCTGGGTCCAGTGAGCTTGCCTGAAAAAGCATGTTTTTGCAGTAGTTGCGTCTCCCTTGCTTTCTGTCCTCATTTTGACATCAGCCTTCTGATTTGTACTTGCATATGGGCGGCATGATTTCTGGACTTATTTATTGCCGCGCATTTTACTGACTTGCTGAACACAAGTACAATAATATGTTTCTTCAGTGCTTTCATGTATGCTGTAATGTTCCACTTAAGTGGTAATTGGATGGTTACAGTTCCTGACTTGGGAATCTACTTTTTATGTGCCTTTACATAATAATGTGAAATCTTGGTAATTTTCATGCTAATATCAAAATGTTCTGTCTAGTCAAGGCTCCTCCAGCTGGAAGGCCACAGTTACAATCCATTTTAAAAACTGTTTATCTAGTTCACGTCTGCAGGGGTGCTGGAGTGATCTGTCACAGGCCACGAGGCCTTGACACCTGTGGCAAATTACAATCCCCAATTACCCTAACACAGGAGCGTCCAACTCTCAGCCTTAAGGGCTGGTATCCTGCAGGTTTTAGATGTGTCATTCAACACATTTGATTTAAATGGTTAAATTACCTCCTCAACATGTCTTGAAATTCTCCAGAGGCCTGGTAATGAACTAATCATTTGATTCAGGTGTGTTGACCGAGGGTAATGTCTAAAACCTGCAGGACACCGAACCTTGAGGCCTGGAGTTGGAGACCCTTGCTCTAACGTGCATGTCTTTGGACTACAGGAGGAAGTAACGAGAGAGAAGGGAGAGAACATGATGGCCTGTGGATTCAAACCAGTGCAGCAATGAGCCGTCCAGTTACAATTAAATCTCAGCCACAAACATTATATGCAATATATGTGTTTGTACTATTTATCAGAAATGTATTATGATGAATAACTCTGCAAATTCTGCACCAAAAGAGTTGAGCAGACATTCAGTCACTCTGAGACCACATGAAAGCACAAAATAAGTATAAGGACAGTAAAGTGAATTTAGTACTGACTGAAGCAATTAATGAAAAATGAAAGTATTTATTATTGTATTAAAAACTGTAAAATCATCATATGGTCTTATGGTAAAAAGTCAGTGCCTGCAACTATGAGCATTGTTGGGGACACTATGTTTAATCAGTCTGGGGTTTAAGGGTGAGAGTTATAATGTAATCAGGCTGTGGAAATGAGTAACATATGCTCAGATCCCAACAGGATACACTTGCAATGCTGGAAATATTGGATAAAGACAGCAGGAGTGAAGATAAGAGAAGGGATTTAGGAGGGAAGCTAGCAAAGGAGTCTGTGTGTGAGCTTGCATTCAGAGTGTATGCTCTCCCACGTGAGTACTTACTGAGTCTAAAGGAAGCTTCTTCAGAACCTTATACTGTTTCTTTGGCTCTAATTTGTAGATGTACTTGTCTGTGATGAGCAGGCCTCGGTCTGTGCTCTTGTTGAACCTGTTCACCTGAGAGAGCAGAACAGGGGAAAGAAAAAGCTTCAGCATGTTTGTTCATTTTCTATTTTCTGTGAAGAGCCCTTCATGCCTCTTGCAGGATCTTTTGGGTTATTTCATTTCAAAAACAGGTTTTCCTTGTAAAGCAGCAAAGAAGCAACACACAAGAAAACATAAAAAAGACTGTGGTGGGTCTGTGAGTCGGGGGTTGCTTCAGTTCACTGTATCAAAGGCTATGTAACTTCAAATATAACTAAGCTCTACTCATAACTTAGGCGAAGCCCTCAATGTTCAGTCCCTGATATGGAAAGTATGGCCATTATTATCCTCAGGGAGACGATAAGAGGTTCAGCATGAGGTAAAATAATAAGCAGCGCTTCATTCAGGTTAAGGGAACTTGAGGACTGAATTCATAGTTCAGTTCCTTTTTATGATTGATCCTCAGATTACTTCCTGAGAAGGCTGTGTTCACTGGTGGAACATGAAATATTGAAAGATGAGCTGTTACAAAAGAGAGGAAGCATGAGGGGGTGGAATGGGAAACACATCGAACCAGAAAAACATCCCAAAGCTAAAAGGAAGCAGCAGAAGAAAGAAACTCCTTGTGGCTACAAAACAGACATTTCCATTTCCCCATGTTCTTTCCCAACATACTATACCTTCCTACAGAAGCTCGAGAAGAGGACCTGACTGTACTCGTCTTTGTTCTTCAGCTCCTTGGAAATTCGGATGAAGCTGGCGCTGGTCTGAGGGCAGTCTCGGGCCTGCAGAAATGAAAGACCAGTATTATTTCAGGAGGTCGGTTGAGGCGACCATCATCAGTACAGATGGAATAGGAATGCACTTCACTGTTAGTCACAAAACTCCAGGTGACCTCTCCCAGCCTCTTTTAAGCCTTTTTATCGCTTTAATTCCATAAGCAGCAGATCAAAGCTCAAGGCCCCTGGCTGCTGTTACCAGACACGGAGCCTGACGTGCCGTTTGAGAGGGACCAAAGCTGATGAGAAATACATTTGGTGGCAAATCTAACACTCTGTTATAGTCTTCCTCCTATAAAGTGCAGCTATCACGGTCATTTTTTAAACATTTCTCCTACAATCTATTTTACATGCTTTAATATATACAGTACACGGTTTAAAGCTGTGGTTCCCAGACTGTGTGCACTGAAGAAATCCAGGTGTGACCATCGTACATTCATTTTGCAGTAAATAACTGCAGACAAACTATATAAATAAATTCAGTCTCTGTATCAGTACTTTCTGCACACTCGTTTCCCTTAAAAAATCTCTTCTATCAAAGTGAACCTCAGTCTGTTTGAGGAGTATTATGACAGCATGACACATCAAAGGCTCTGACTGACAGCAGGAAGAATACAAAGGGGAAAACAGCTCACTTTCTTGTGTGAATCAAACCACAACTAACTACCAGTCCAGCCTATTCGCCAACTAAAGAAAAGAGAAAAAAAATCAGTAGGGAACATAGAGGAAAGTTGAACTGCCGAATGGCTTCATTTGCCTGGAGATGTCAACGTCCCTTAATCTGAATGTGTGCTAACATGACGCCAAGAAAGCCTAAAGAGCCACTTGGAAACCAAATATCCCCTCTGAGAGAAACTAGGCCTACTTCAAAAGAGCACCGGATGCCAACCAAGAGGCTCCATGACTGCCTGTTGATTGGTGTGAAGGTGTTTCATAAGGTGATGGAGGCAAGGTGACACTTCTCTCTGTAGTCTGATGGTGTAATCAAAACATGTCAGAAGACAGAGGATATATTTTTCACAGGGATGCATACTGGTGTACTCTTATATTATGGCTTATCGTTTGGTGTTATTTGGAAACGGTAAGTATTCAAAAAACCTCTTAGTTTTTAAACTTGTACCAGCTTCCCTGGTTCCAGAGGTAAATCTGAGTGCTACTGAGTGAACTGATATGCTAGTGTGATTCCAAATTACTACCAACAGCTAAGATTCAACATCTCTGACTATATATAAAAGATGAATGTAGCCACCATTTTTGCTGAATGGGAAAATCACTGTCTAAATATGTTCATTTAAGTAATATGAAACGGGGCAGGTTCAGGCACTTTTTCCAGGTCTTAGTGTTGATTACCTGAAAAATTTCCTTTGTTGAAGCTTAAGACTGGACATGAACCCCCTGAACTCGGTGAACTTACAATCACAGTAAGGATTCAGCCTGACTGAATGCCACGATGCATGCACTAATCTACAGGTCACTGTGGAATTAAATGCAATCACATGAACTTAGATCCCTGAAGGAGGCCAGCAAGTCAGGGGCCGGCTGACAAACTAGCAAAGGGAATGTCTCAGGACTCTGCGGCAGTCACGCTCACGCTCCCCGAAGGCATCTTTAAAGTCAGAAAACAACCTCATATTAGCTGGTAAATGAAGCAACTGTAGTATTCATCAATAAAGGGCTGTGTTCACATGAACAGCCCTCTTTTGGTCACAGCCCAAGGCACATCACATGCACAGTATACATTCACAACAAAAGATGATCCTATACACAGCTGATTGTTCAAGTCTTTTTTCATTACTGTGATGAATTTGTGTGAAAATTTCCTGCCAGTGGGCTGCAAAATATCCAGCTGAACTAACTAAATGGGAGTCATGTGAAATGACAACTGCTTAAGAAATTCTTCCGTTTTGAAAATTAAAGAGGCAGAAAAAACAAGCGGAAAACTATAAAACTACAAAATGCTTTAATGTTTTTATTAGTTCAGCAGTGTTTGAGAATCTATGTCACTATTTTAACATTGATATGTTAAAATATATATAAAGAAACAAGTTTTGTGTTTGTTTTAAATTTTGAAATCATGTTCTGCCTTTCCAGGGAAGCCACTGAGACTTATTTCTACTGTTTTTTGGGTTTGTTTGTTTTTTAAATCTGGAGTGGAAAGTGTAAAAACGGCAGAAAAGTCAACTCCAGCTTTTCAATAAAATGCATTGCAATATCATTTCAGGTGATTTCAAAAGTAGTTCTGCTTTTCTAGCTGAGATTTAGGTGTGCTGTCTGAATCACAATAATCGCAGACATAATGGCTGGTTTCTTAGTTTTAGTTTTACGATCTAGTTTATTTGGTGGTTATAGTTTGCTTTTATTCACTGTTTCAATTTATTCTGCCCTGCGTGTGTTTCTCGTGTCTTAAGTATCCATCTCTATGTTAGGTGTTCTCATGTTCAAAGGGCTAGTTTGTCTTGTGTGTTTATTATTCAGTTTTGCCTCCCATAATTGGGTTTCACTGATCGCTTGCACCCAGGTATTCTCCACAGCTGTACTCATTTGAGACTGCAGAAAAGTCAGCATCTTTTAAGCAAACTTTAGGAGCACCAATCTCCTAGTGACCTATCCATCCATCTTTGCTGATCACACATCCCAGCATCTATTCACCAAAAAGTGTGGCGTGCATGCATGTGTGTGTGTGTGTGTTGCCTCATCTTTGCATATTAAGGTGGATACTCACAAATTTGTGAAAGATTTCATATCTCAAGTGTCCAATTTTCTTGCTTAAATAAAGGTAAAATAAATCAAGTGTCTTCCAGAGGTCAAAATAAATCCCAAAACAAATAATTTTACAACCTATTCGAACACGATTTACTGAGAAACAACAAAGGTACCCAGGATTTATCTTGTTACTACTGTGATTCTTACATTTGCCAGGTAGTCCCTCTCCCAGGCTCGGCTGACTCCCCAGTCTTTTCTCTCTCCGCTCAGAGCCGTCATAGCTGCCACTTTGGCCCGAACTTCCAGCATGTCAGACGGCGGGATGTTTTTCACGATCTGCCTCGCCCACCACCTGACACCGAGGGATGAGAACGAGACAACATGCCATGAGGGTGGATATTACTTCAAAGGCCCAAAGAAAGAAAAGTTGGAGGAACAGCTTTAAGTTAGAGTCAGATAAAGGATAAAAATCAGTGATCCAAAACTCACTCAATCACACAGCCAAACACTGACTCGACTTATTCTGCAGCTACTGAGAATTTAGTGACCTTAAGAGATGAGTTGATTTCAACACATGTGCCTAAAAAAGAAACCAGATTTTTGCACACTTTACAAAATGAAGATGAAAGAGACGGAGGAAGAAAGCAGGCAGGGTAGAGAAGAGGTGGAGAGAGTGGTGGGGGTGAGGGAGACGAAGTGAGGATAAAGAGGTAAGGATGAAGAAGAAGGAGTAAGACTTTAACCCTAATGGATAGAATTAGGATTAGGTTAGGGTTTGGCACTTAGTTCAGATAGTTAAACCTAGGGTTAAGAGGCTTGAATATGTATAACTCTATGTGCAGTCGGGCGGGCAGCAGTCACTTTATGGGAAACACTGCTAACAGAGAATAAATTCCAGCTAAAATATTGAACCACTTATCCAAACAACTTCAAACTTGGGGCTGTTCTTCCTCAAACCCCAGAAAAGATCCACCAAGTCTGAAGTGGATCAAAAGAACGGCAAAGAACAGACAGATGAATCACTCTCGCATCTGTGAATTCAGGCTTTAGCCAGCAGCCACTTCGCTTAGCTTAACAAAAAGGCTGTAAACAAGTAGAAGGGCTGTTTCTCAATATCTTTAAACGTTAATACTTTACTAACCTCTAAAACTAATCCACTAATTCGAAAGTTACATCTCTTTTGTTTCATCTGTAATAAAGTCTCTAAAGTGTTTCACATCTAAGCAGCAACCTCTGGGGATGAACAATGAAGCCAACATGAAAATCCCCAAAGCGGCGTTTCCTAAAACTGCCACTTCAGCTTGGCTCCAAAATCAAGTCAATCCCCAGAGACAACGATTTGATAACACCCAAGTTTAAAACTGTGTGACTGTGCATCATGTTGGTAGGGTTCCCATGGATGCAGTAAGGATGGACACTGCTTCTTTTGGCTGAGCTTTTATTAAATATATAATGACACAGCATAATATGTCAGTCTATGTAATGTAAAATATCCTTAGTATTTCACAGACCACACAGAGTTGCATATTTTTATGTGCTCTGACCTGCGATGCAGCATGACTGTGATGCTGTGAAACTGCGACAGTGCTGCAGGCGGCGTCGGCCACTCCAAGCTCTTCCCATAGTCGGCCATAGTTCGCACATTAGCAAACCTCCGCTCCACCTCCCAGAAGTGTGCCTTGACCTTGTAGCGCTTATAGCAGCCCATGATGGCATAGATGGCCCTCATCCGCCGGCACCTTGCACGAGCTAGAGTGCCGCGCCACACCTGTGGGTCAGGTTAAAAAAACAACAACAAAGGGGCGTGTGAAAGAGACAAAACAAGAGGAAAATTATTGCCTCTGCATCCCACAGCACTTAAGACAAACTTTTCCTCCGGTTAGAGTTCCAGATTTCTCTGCAGTTATAAAGTAGGTCAGAGGAAAGAGAAAAGAGAAGGGTATTTCATTGAGCAAGCGAAGTAATTGACTTTAATGCAGCTGCGCTCTGGATCGCATTAATTATCCCAATTATTGTTACAGGAAATTAGGATTCAAGCTGGCAGATGAATTTCAGTCAAACATAACCAAGAGCCACATATTCATGAGCCTGAGACAAACTGCAGTTTCTATTCTGATACCTTGAAGCCTGGTGGAAAAAACACTGCATGTTATTAACTTCAACACACCATCTGAACTGTTCCTGATGCTGAATTAGATGTCAAACTATCACATCAATGGATCTTTAAAATTAAACATTAAACCAGCTGTGAAGCATGGTGACACTTTCATGCCTCACCTTTTGCAGGAAAGTCACCAGGATGGGGATGAGGTGGTTTCTCTCCTGCTCCAGTGTGAAGAGAGACCGCGGCGTTCTCACAAACAGCTTTGTTTGGCCGTACGCAACGTCGTCCTGGAAACCGTGCTGGATGACGATGGCCTCCACAGCTTCCCTGTCTGACGCCATCAGGTGGTTTGGCCAGGTGTACTCGCACGTCATTTTATACCTGAACAACATTCAGCAAGAATCAGAGACGATGATCACATAAGTGTTTGCAGTCTGACCTCAAACTTGGGTAGAGACAGTTGAGACAGTTAGTTGATGTCAGTGAACATCACTAACTCTGCTACCTGAGAACGTGAGTTTCCAAGCAGTTTCCAAGTGTCAGATTGAGGGATCAATATCAGACGCATAACCGAGAGAATTTTCACCGTCACTGTGATTTTGACATTTGCACATTTTTGTGCACCATGAACTCTCAACGAGGGTCAGACTTTATCCAGAAGCCTTCTGTGATATCCAGAGGCATCGGAGGGCAGATATCTTAATTTATGGTATTAGAGTCAAGTGTAGCTTTGATTAAAATTGGAGAAAACATTGTGACCACACCAAAATAACACTCTAACATTGTCCATGTTTTTCTTCCTTTCATTGGCTCTCATTAAAAAATTTTAAAATCTGTATTTAACTACTTACATGGCCATGCTTCTGCCGCATCTGCTGAGACCTTATTCTAATGTAGCACTTTCCTGCTCCCAGACAATTTTGTAACTTTAACTTTGACATTTGCTATCGTGCCATTGTGCACCTGCTGACAGGCCGTTAAAGAAAAACTCAGGAGTTTATGAGTAACACAATCACACTTGAGCTTTCCAGTCTCCAGATCGGGCCCACTGCTACTTCCTCCTCTTCCCAAAAATGGAATTCAACTTGAAGGTTTGCTATTTTGAAACTGTGGAGGAGATTCAGCAGATGGTCAGAACAGGACTTTAATCCTAAAATAGCTAGGGTGCTTGCAGTGGTGCAGAATTACACAAGAAGACAACCCTGAAGGGAAAGCAACCACAGTATAAATGCTGAACATAGTCTGACAACTGAAGCCATAAACTTTTTCTTTTTAATTACCACCAGGGGGCGATCCCTCTAGCTCCCAAAAAAACTTCCAGTCCTGTGGAAGTCTGCCCTCCACTTTCTTGTGATGGGACCTCTAAACACTGTCCTGATGGCTAATGACTCATTTTCTAGTTTCAGGTCATACTAATTAAATTATGGTCATTATAATGACTTGTCCAACACGTAGTGACTTCAAAAAATACAAAACATATCATGCATAAACCAGGCTGGTAATGTTGGTAATGTGTTTTTTCTTTTAGCCAACTTTTTGACACACCTTAAATGTTAACTTTAGGTCTTTTTAGTCGTGTTAGGTTTTGTTAAAACAAGCACCAATTGTCAAATAGTCTAAATCTCTTGGGTAGTACTATTTACATAAATGTGTGCCGTCTTTTTAAGGTTTCAGATCAAAGTACATTTTGGGTAAGAAAAGTTACTTTTTTTTTTACTTTTTAACACATTTTACTCATGGTGTTACACTCCGCTGCTGAAGAGACCACTTCACTAGACCGTAATCCCGTTGTCTTACCTCTGCAGGAAGCGAGCATAGAGCTGCCTGTAGGCAAAGCCCGCCCTGCGTACCCTCACGTTCTCCAGCAGGCCAAGGTAGGCCACCTGGTGCTGGCAGCGGGCGTCATCAAACAACACCGGTGACTTCATTTCGTTGGGCTTTATACATCGCACATAGTATGGCTCCTGCAAAATAGAACAAGTTGTTCAGCTGGCATGGTGTGAGCTTTCTTTGGCTGTATTTCAAAAAGCCTGTTTGCATTTTCAATAAAGTGTTACATCACTGGTGACACAGCAACACTGCATTTGGACTGATACTCTGAATGTATTTTTTCATAACACTCTTGTTTTATCACCTGCACAAACTTGAACAGGTCTTTGATTTTTCTCAGTGTTCGCGTCACCGCTGCGGTCATCACTGTGCGAGTAAATAAACTGAACTCAGCTTGTAAACTGTCAATGAGCCGCACCACAGCCAAGCTGCAAAACTGGCAAACTGAGTTCAGTGACCTTAATCAGACTTGCAGAATGTTTCAACAAACGCCACAGTGAGCAGCTGAGCCTCACAACAGCCCAGCCCCACGCAGCTACTCGCTAGCAGCACGCCGAGCTGCACTTTAGATGAAGCAGGGTCATGGCTGGATGCCTGAACCTTGACAGTTATAGCGGGGATGCACTACATCCTGTCAAAGAACTGGCTGTTGTGTTTTCACTGATTTAACCGCTCTGTCCATTAAAGACAAATAAGGCGAAGCACTTTCTGACACCAAACACTGATCCCTGTGCAGGCTTTGCCTGGAGTTTCGACTCAGCTCGGCAGCAGTTTGAGAAAATGTCAGAAAATGAAGGCTGAGAGGAAATGAAGTGGGAAGCCTGAGCACAGGTGCTTCAGTACTGCTGCTGAAGAAAACTGTCTGCTCTTTCAACGTGACCTACAGCAAAAAAAACCCTTCAGGCATGGGAGTTTACTTTCATTTCACCTCAGCCACATCATGACGAGATGCTACAGCAGCCCGGAAGCAGGCCGTCCAAAAATAACAGCAAGAAATGTCAGACTTCAGTCAGTGAGATGAGGCCAGGCGAGGTGAGGTGCATACTTTATGTACCACCTCCATCTCCTTCTCCTCCTCAGCACCCTCTAAACGCCACAAAAAGACAGATAGGATCAGGACAACTTAGAAACACTGCTACTCCCTGACACCACAAGGAACAGACTGCGATGTATACATGTGAATGCTACACCTCTTCTTCCTCTTCCGATGTTTATTATGCACTATCCAAAGGAGACATCACACAAACACATTGGCAGTCTCAGAATAGTCTGTGAGTCATGCAGACTTACAGGGACCAGAACCGCCTATAACTGGTGCAGAGCATCAGTACAGACAGCAGAGTAAACTGGGGAGATGATCTACGCTGGCACTAAACACAAACTCTGACACAGAAATATAAACAAATCTGTAGGTTTCCAGAGTAATTGATTTGACTTCAATTCATGTTCTACAAAATCAAAGCACAGAAGCAAAACCAAAATAAATGCAACACTGGACTCAATCTTTCATATGTTTTTTGCTAGATTAAAATCTGTAACATATATAAACAAATGTGTTATGTGTTTATGAAAACAGCATATAAAAAACACAAACCATAGAATTATAGGCTGACTGTAAAGCTAATCAGACAGTCATTCCACAAAGCTAAATCAGGAAGTAGCTAAATCCAATCATGATGGAAGAAAGAAGTCTACTAAAATCCTCTAAAGCTAACAAGCTTAGAGCAACTGTGTAATAGGGTAACTACCTAGACAGTAATGCTAAATAATGAAAGAAAGGCATATGAAATTTTACCTGATAAGACTGGCATGTAGCTTAGCTAAAGCTAAAATGATTGATTCAAATATATCCTTTCTTACTTTTAATTAAATTATATCTTAGTAACTTATCTAACGATTTGAGGAAAAGGCATTTTGCCTATTTCTAAAGTTAGCAAGCTTATAGAAACTCGGTAACTGGGCAGAAACTAGGTAGCTAAGCTAAATAAAGCAAGAAAAGGCTAATTAAATGCAAGCTTGTGATTAGCTACCTACATTAGCTTTAGCTGAAGCTAAACTAAACTGAACAATATTACGAGAATCATTTTTATGCTATCTTTTTAGTGAGATTTTATTTTGGTAATTTAACCAAGGTTTGAGCCAAAAACCAAATTTCTCACTAACTCACTAATTGGGTATCTAACTACACAGCTAAGCTAAATAAAATGAGATATGCAGCTGGTGATATGACCACTTTGTTTTAGTTAAAGCTAAATCTAAACTGAACAAATCCCCCTTAACTGGTTTGTGCCTTTTAATAAAGTGACATTTTGGTAGTTCTAATAATTTAGAAAAAACAATTAAACTCATCTAAAGCTAACAAGACTACATTAATAAGTAGATGGCTACACCATAAAAAAGAGAACTATATCATCTGGTGAGACAGCCAACTACAGTATATGTGTTCAAAAGTACTGGGTCACCTACACATTAAACCTACAAGAGCTGGCCATGGAAACTATATCATGAAGCTCCCAGTGCACAGTTTTTGTGCTGATGTTAATGCCAGAGGAGGTCTACGGGACTTTTAAGAGCTATGCTACATTGTGACTGAGCTCTTGTAGTTCCTAAACACCACAGATATTGTGGGATATCTAAGAGGAAAGACATTTCACTAACTGATGGCATCTTACTACAATACCACACACAAATTCAGCGAGCCCTTTAGAATGACTCAGTACATTTCCAATAAATGGGGAAATCCAACTAAGTCAAATTCTGGCTTGAATGAACTGACTGGTGCTACAACCTAAAAGTTTCATTATATTTTCAGTATAAAAGCAAATACTTTACTGTAACCGTAATGGATGCCACAAGTCATTTTAGAGCATTTACCATTTTGGCTTCACACCAAACTACTAACATTTATTAGCAGTTATCTTACACAATCACATGCTATCAAGGTAGCACAAGGTAGGAAAAGGTACTGTTATAAAGTCTTAACCATCCAATCAGCACACTTTTGCAAAACGCTGTTATTATTTTAGCCATTTAACATCAATCATGTACTGTCTCATGGCAGCTCTCTAAGTAGACGGAGTGGTAGCGATTAAAATAATTATCTTAACACCGACATAAAGCAGCAGTAATATGGATTAACATATTTACAAACTAGTTTAGAAATCAGTTTTCTCAACTTTAATGCTTCTTCATTTACTACTCTTTGACTGTGTGGACATCAAACGTGCATTAATTAGCTGAAAATACATCCACAGCCTCCCACTGGGGTTAAGAGAAGAAACGAGGAAGTCGATCATAAGCAGAAACTACTAACCTTGCACGCCAGTTTATCAACCAAAGCCACAATGGAGTTCTTGAACAGGGTGGCAGCAGTCAAAGGCCGCTTGGTGACCTCTGTGATGCTCAGATGTCCATCTGGCCACATCTCTTTTAGGACTGGATTGGCACTATGAGAAGCGAGAAAGCGGGGTAAAGAGTAAAGAAAGGACACCATTAACTAGGCTAGCAGAGGAGGGATGTGCAGACTGAGGGAAGAAGAAACTCATATATACACATGACCCAGTTAATGAACTGTCAAGAGCATTATGATGCTGGGAAAAACTGTCAGTGATGCTTGTGTTTGGCACCTGTTGTACATAAGGCGCTTGAAGTCTTGGAAAAGCAGGTCCTTGTTCTTGTCCAAAAAGCCCTCGACGGAATATCTGCAACAGATGTAGAGAGGGTGATATGAGAGTAATTATTTAGTAATGAGAGGGCGGCCCCATTGATGAGTATTTGGAGTGAACAATAACAATCAAGATGCTAAAGTTACACAAAAGTCAAACTAAAATAGCAATAGAGTTTAAAGAGTAAGTGTCTGCCACTCAAAGGGTCGCTATCATTAACTGCACTCTCTGCTACTAATGACTCACAGACCTCCGGCAAAGGATTAGAGCAAGAGTCATGCTGCTTAGTCAATTTACAAATTAGGTACATGGTCAAATTCTCCCCATGGCTCGCGTTTAGATAAAATGAACTGTCTACAAACTAATCTGTCTGCCTTTTTTTCCCTCCACAAACTGCTCAGTTGGTTTTGATGAGGCATCAGTGGGAGGTCACGGGCACATTGTAAGGCACAGTTACATAAGCTGTCCAGCTCCGGGGGATGAGCCTGCTGTAGTGTAAGCATTGCCTCATAAAAACCTCTCCCTCGTATTCACAGTGTAACAATACGATGCACAGTGTGGATGCATTTCTGACTTTAAAGAATGCATTCCTTTTATTGGACTGTGCACATATCTTGTAAATGAGAAGCTTTAAAACCAGTAAAAGCACCAAAACAAAAAATGTATACAAATATTCCCCTAAAATTACATTTTTTTAAAACTACATTATATATATATAGGGGTTTTCTACTGTTATCACCCAGTTACAGGACTTTGGACTATAATCCATATTAACATACTCACAACAATGACACGTTTGGGGCACTTTTGGGTTCAGTTTCTCACTAAAGGACACATATGTATGCTGACTATCACAAGCTGGGACCCAGTCACCAACTTCCTGATTACTGCAGGACTTGTTTTACCTTCAACTGCTAAACCACTGGTTCTCAAACGTTCTCTGTCTTTCCCCACTTGAGGTGGCTGTAGCTCTGAAGGCAGAGGCAGGTCATCTACTAGTTGGAAGGTTGGTGGTTCAATCCTTGCCATGCCAAAGTATCCTTGTACAAGACACTGAACCCTGAGTTGCACTCTGATGTGTTCACTGGAGTGTGAATGTTATATAGAAAAGCACAAATGTGAGTGAATGAAAGCGTTATATAAGCACCAGTCCATTTAGAAGCCAAAAAACCCTGAAACATCTGCATTTTTATCCAATTATTAACAATAATAAAGTATTCAACATGAATTTTACTTTCAATAAAGGCCTCCCCAATGGCTTCAGAATACTCTTGTTTATGTTAAATTAGCTTCCCTTCATATTCAGTCCAATGCCAGAGCAAATTAGTCAGTGTCTGGTCTCATTTGCACTGTTTCTTGGGGGGCATATGAGGGCAAAAACATCCATATTTGGAGTCTGGAAAGGCTGATGCTGGACAGAATTATTTCACTGCATACTCTAGCATCCTAAGTTCAAGGCCAACATGTCACAGATGTCCATAATAGACAGTGTAAAAGTTGGACATAGCCTCCAGATCTTAGAAGGGATGCCAACGTGGAAGTGCCTTAAATCTGTATTTTAATGGCCACCAGGGGGCGATACCTGTGGCTCCAAAGAGACTTCCAGGCCTATAGAAGTCAAAGGGGAAATGGTCAAGGATTCGTTAACAACTTATCAGTGCCTATGACAGATGTGTCTCCTTGGCTCTCAGAAGTCAATATAACCTGATCAGATTTCTTGGAGGCTCGCTGAAGTAAGACAGTGTAAAAAAAAAAGGTGAGGGTTCAGGACCCACAACAAGAAGCCACAGCACTTATTTACAAGCGTAGGAAAGCTGTTGCGACAGAGCAGACAGGAGAGGACAGGCAAAGACAAAGGCAACCGGTCTCCAGAGACACGACAATGATTTAGAGGAATGTATATTAAAGTATGAAGGTCAAGGCTGATGCAAGGAGACCGCTGAGTGGCACAAGGTGAAAGGCAGCACATATGGGGAGAGTCAGGTGACAAAGATGTGAGATGCCTGCAATATAAAGCTGTAGAGTAGGAATATATGAAACTGTATATCTTTCCTGAAAGTGCTGCATGTGCAGGCTGAAATTCTGCAGGGATTTAAAAGCGCGGATAGCAATGAGAGCTAGGTGAGTGTTGCAGAACAGAAGCAGGAGAAGAGGAAACAGGATGAGAAAAGGAGGAGAGAACAAAGTAGGTCAAAGCTTCTGATACTGGTGGTTTGGTGAGAGTGGAGAAAGGGGGGGGCCAGCGGGTGGTGAGGAAGAGAGTATATTTAGCCAGAGTAAGGAAAGACTGAGACGGGATGGGATGGGACAGGGGATGGTGCCACCAGGAAGCAATATACGAGAGGTGACAGCTCAGCTGGAGAGACCCCGTCGTGGCCCTGAGGTGATCAGGGGCCGGATGATGGGGACACGTAGTGACAGGGACAGCCATCTGTCATGACTTACTGCAGGTCTGTGACACACGCTCTTATCCAGCCCGTCATATTACCGCTGGCAGGACCCTGACGACATGGTTTTTCTAGGATGCTCATGACTAAACAATTAAACAAACGTAACATTCAATAATTTAACCCTCTCTGACTCAGCTTACGTGTGTGTTTTTTCTCTGACAGCGCAGTGGTCTGGCGATCAAAATTAATCTGCTTATCTTTCCATCGTCTAGCCCTAACCCTAATGTCCAGAAGAAAAGGAGGTTTTATGAGCGTTAGAAGTTAACAGGGAGTTAGACAGTTGAATTTTACACAAAACTGTGTTCTGACTGAAGTATTTGTATAAAATCAAAAACATACAGCACTGCTTTAGCTTTAGACATAAACAAGAATGAAAAACTAAATACGAGGAACATTTGGCAGGTTAGTGAAGTTGGCCTAGTTGCCTGGTACTTCTGTACTATCTGTTTATCACTGTCTAACTGGCTAATTTCATCCAATCAGATCAACGAACCACTCGACATAGAGAGCTAGATGCAGCTGAAAGGGAGTGAGCGGTCAGTCCGTTAGCATGTTGTAAGATGTTTCTTTGTAAGCAAAATCTTCATTTAAAAAGCACCCGCAGGCAATGAAAAGAACTTCAAAAAGTTCTTGACTAACACTCATGTTGATCAACCAACTGTCACAATATTTTGATTAAGTGGTCTCAAACTTTTTCTTTTGGGTTTGCATTAAAAAAAAGCATAAATTTGTGAAATAATTAAAATTAATAGAGTAATTCTTAAAAGAGTCTTGTTAGTTACAATCCTAATTAATATAAAAAATAATAAAATGAACAGCTACTTGGACATTACTGCATCAGTAATAATAACATTTTGTCTCATACACTACATCACTACTACAAGAACCTTTTCTTTTATGCATTTCAGGGGAATAGAAACACCATTGCTAACTGTGGGTGAGAGCGATCCTGAGCTGATGCATGAAATTGTCCTGTGTTTCTGTGTGTGTTTGACATCCTGTTAGCCTGGATTTCCCAGAGTCACAGAACCTCAATAAACCTCCTTCAGTAGTCTTTGATTACTGCTGCTGTATCACACAGAGACGAAATTGTCTCATCAGTTGGCTCCATCTCTCCTCATCCTCCTCCACTTGCGTGTTCCCTTGACATATTAATGTCCTTCCCTCTCTAGATTGAGGGCAGTACACGTGAGCTGTGGGGATCCAAAGCCACGGCGGCTGACTGCTGGCCAGGGGCATCATCTGGCCGCTGCAGTGTTTAAATCCCGATAAGGAAATGGAGCAGTGATGGAGAAGGAAGCTGAGCAAAGTGTTTCTTCTTTAGTCTGTGTGTCATAAACCAAGCAACCACTAACATCAATGAAAAATAAATTCAACTTTCAGAGCAGGCTAAAAGCTAAAAAGCTCAATATGCATATATCAGTTTTATAGCCATACATGTGATTTATGATGTCATCTGTCCTATAAATTGTTTTCTAGCAGCTCAGAACGCCTCCTGTTTGACTTTAGTAAAGTACACTTTTGCAAGCCGCTGCCAGGGTAACTATAGCTTTTTTTTTTTTTAAGTTTTTAATTTTTAGATTTAGCCTACTTTTACAAGTATAATTTATCTGTGCATTTACTACAGGGTCACGGTTGCAGGGGCATGTGTAGATACCCAGACCTCCTTATTAAAGGCCACCTCATCCAGCGTGACATTCAAAGCCTGACATTATTAACGTTATTTCCCCAGTGTCCCGGGTCTTCCAGAAGGCCATATCCTAGTTGGACTTGCCCAAAATGCCTCGCATAGGAGGCATCTAAAAGGCATCCTAGTCATATATCTGAATCACCATACCTGCCTCCTTTCAAGGTGGAGAAGTAGAACTTCTTCCTGGGAGAGCCCAGACAGTTTTAACTGCTTTTTTCTGCTTCAGTGTTACGTTTAGAGTGTTTTTGCTATAGTGATAAAGGCTAATATAAGCAAGTTTTCAGAACATAACTTACAAACACTTGACTCATAGTCATGTTTACCCTCCAGTCTCAATAAACATAAGCAAAACTGTCTCACAATCCTGTCTATATTCAAAAATGTCACTAAAACAAAACGCGCTTTTTAAAAATCTTTACTATCTCTACTTACCTTTTATTAACATTCATTAAAATATCTTATTTTTCACATGTGGTTTTGATTTTTTGTTTAGTTTTAGTGAACTAAAACAACCTTTGTCACTACAACAAAGACGATATCAGTAATGAACGGTTGTCTGTCTCTCTGTATTAGCCCTGTGCTAGACTGATGACCCGTACCCCGCCTCTGTCTCCACACGACAGCTGGAACAGACTTCAGCACTCCTGTGACTTCAAACTACATATGTGGTCAAGAAAATGAATAGATGGAATTTATTCTATGTGTTGTAAAACATATATTTTAAATTATACGTGATTTAAAATTTGACATATAAAATATTAGCGGTTTGGAAGTTTTTGGACATGAATATCCACTGATCCTGTTGAAAATCATGTCTTTCCAGCTCTTGTAAGCAGATGTGTGCGTGTCCTCTCCATGCCACTACATTGCCCTGTTTATGTGCAGAGTAGTGTCCTACTCACATATGTATATGTGACTTCTGAACCCTGCTGTCATCTGTGGAAACATCCACTGTCCATACAATTATACATTAAGTGGATATGAAAAGTGACAACATCTTTCCAGGATTGCACAGATTTTGGTTAACATGGGAATTTACTACATATTCTGCTCAGTAAAGCTGTCACTCTGGACCGCTGGAGCCCAAATGATGTCATTGCCATGAGCTGACCTCCTTTAATAGGATTTTATGGCTTACACTCGTGAACTCAAGCACAGCAGCCTGTCATTATTTTTTCTCCACAGAGAGGCCTTGGACTGAAAAACATGACAACAAACAGTGCAAAATGTAGCGACTCACGTGACGTCTCCGGCATAGTGGCGAATACGGAAGTGTTTCTGAAAGTCCATGCTTTTGTCAGTGGGGCTGAGCTGGAAACAAGAGAGGACAATGTGAGTGAAATATGATCTATTTAACTCAATTACAGACATCTTCAGACTCAACTTTACGAGGAGTTTTGGAGATCCTGCACTTCATAAAGCATCTCATATCTGGAGCAAACCTAAAAGGAAAAATATTGGAGAAACTCTGCTCTCTAGTGGTAAAACCTCAAAACTGCACCTGTTCTCTTAGGTAACTATGGGTGTTTTTATTCTCCTCTATATTTAAATTTAAAAAAATAGTATTGTGCAAAATTCTCAAACCGCCTCTCATTTCTTCACATTTTGAACAATGAGAGACAAGATCATTGATTTACTGAAACATGCAGACATGAATACAAACACAGTATATAAGAAAAAGCCCCAAACCCTGACACAGCTTAAATCGCGTTTTACAGATGGCCGTTGACCCTCTCTGTACACAGTGATAAAAATTTGGACCAGAAATTTCAAATCCGGTCTCATCACTCCGTAACACCTGCTAACACTGATTTTCACTCCAGCTCTGATGTAATTTGGCATACCTCAGCCTTTTCTCCCTGTTTCCCTTCCTTAAGAGTGCCATCTTGAGCGCCACCCTTCTATTTCTGATGAGGCTTCAGTGAACAGTGGATGATTGAACTGAAGGGCCAGATGCATCTCTTAGGTTCTGTGTCAGGTCTTTGCTGTTTTTATGTCTGATTTCCTGACAGGACTTTCAGATACTGTTCATTTGATTTTAGGACTGTCACTTCCTCTTTATCTCCACTTGTTAGTTTTCCTCAGTTTCTTAATGACAGAGTGCACACCATGCTGAGTTATGCATGATAACTTTTCAAACAATAGTTCTTTGGGAATCAATCTCTTGGTACAAAAATATAGTTTATGCCTGTCAAACTGTCATCTTTGGTATTTTTTTTATATATGCAATAAAGAAATGCAAATAGACTGTTTTTGCACCAGGCTGCTAATAAGCACCCACAGATATATTTTAAAATTGGTTCTTTGCTAAGTTGTCTGTGTAAAGACAATACCGATTGAAGACCGTTGACCCCTTACCCTTGAGTTAGGTGCCTTTTATCCTTGAATGATGTATAAGTCAGTGTCAGTAGCTTAACAAACAGTAAAACAAATGGTCAGGTAAAAGGACTGGACTGGAAATGAGTGAAAAAGCAGCCAATGTCCAAAGTAAAACATATGAAGGACCTTCAGACAGTCTAAAGAACTGTTGCTCAACAATTCCATTAAATATTGTGACTGGTTAAATTATACGTCCACATAAATAGACATTTCAAGTCTTTCAAGGCTCAGCACTGCCTTCCATTTACTAATATCTGCCTGAAAGAAAATTTCATCTCATTTATTGATTCTGACTAGTGTGGATTTGTCTCAAACTTTATCCAATAAATTGCTTCACTGGCTTTACTGGTTTTGTTTTTACGTGTTTACAATCCACCCTTCCCCAAAATGAGCAAAACTCAATTTATTTTAGGTTGTAGCATTTCCACTGCTTTACTTCAGTGCTTCTAACCTACAAAAGGCAAATATTAGCATTTCGATTTTGGCAAATGATCAGATTTCTTCCTTCTTTTGCCTTTTAGGTTTACTGTAAGTCTGATGAGAACATGTTGAAAATAAAACCACTTCCTTCCCAGTTAATTCTGAAAGTTTGAGATCCTGTTTTTAAACCACTTTGTGTTAAAAACATTTAAAGATCTTCTGCTTTTGTAGAGAATCTTGATAACCTCATCATGTTATAATTCACAAAAACAAATACTTTTGTTATTGTGCACTGGCAGAAGTGCTAATGAAACCCAGTCATTATGAAAGCATCTTTCCAAGTATGAAGCAAATTTCTCCTAAACTTGCAAAATAATGCACTGGCTTTGGCAGAGGATGTGCTCTTTGAGTGCCCTTTTAATTGTGTGCTACTGTTAGAGAGTATAAGCTTATTTTCTAACCTTCGGGTCTAGTAAGGGAATCGTAGTGTAAATGTTACATCACATGAGGAGATGTAGTAATTAGTTCTGACCTTGCGGGAGGTGTAGTGGGGGTGCTGTGCCAGTTTGGTGTCCATGCTGTCCAAGCAGACTGTGTCAGTGACTTTTCCAACAGTGAGGCAAGCCTCATCCAGAATGGAGATGATGCCTTTGTGGGCCTGCTCCACCAGGTCGACAATGATCTGGTTGTTGAAGTATTCGATCTGCGCATAAAGAGCACGACTGTCAGTTCAAAGAAAGAAGAGATTGGTTTGTGAATGAAGTGGTTGCTCTTGTTACTGCACGAGAATTTTGTTCTGTTTATGAGCTTTTGTGACAGATGTGTCCACATACAGCGAGTGTGTGGTTTCGGTCAGTTTCTTGATTTTGCAATGACACCCCCATACAAACAGATTCACAGATTGTTGTATATCTGATGTTAAAATAAACTACAAGTAATGAGAGTTAACACAACAAGAGACTAGCAGTGATGTCGTAATCAGAATCCAACAACATGTGGCAACAAAAGGTAACATAAGAGTCAGCAATGCAAAGTTAAATGGTAACTTTTCTCAACTTTGAGGTGAGTGATTGATGCGACTACAAATGGGAGTGAAAGATGCTTATTGACATAAGAAAGTGTGTAAATGACATGAGAGGGTTACCTAAGCAACCAGGTGTCCACTAGTGAGCAGACAGGTCAGGGTTTTAAGCTCACACAAAACTCGTGTCTTTTCACGAGACTTTAAATCCAACACTCGATTAGAAGATTTTCAATTTGAAAATCAGTGATTTAAGAGTTTCCTTTTTGGATCAACATTATGAAGGATAGCTGTAGCTTCTGGAAGTGAAAGGTGAAGCCATTAGACAAGCTTCTTTAACCTGCATTAGTTTTAAGAGAATCCAGCAGGGGGCGACTCATCTGGCTGCAGAAAGACTTCTTGCATAGGGGGAAAAGGTCCTTGGCTCACTTTGTCTGTGTCCTCAGTAAACACTTTGATGAAGACTTCAATGGATAAATCATAAATAAAACATGAAGTTAATTTGTAATTTATGGACCTCATTAAAGTCAGAACTGAGAATTATCCAGGGTATGCTAATTTGCAAAAAAAAAAATTCTCACTGACAAGTCCAGTGTCCTCAGTTTCCCATTCAGATCAGCTCCTCATTTGAACTGACCAAACAGTGAGGGGTTGTTCTGGGTTTGGGGGACAGCAATGCTACATGGGTTATGTAAAAGTTAAAGTATAATTAAAACACAAATTTGAGATGGGACGGGAACGACTGAAGTTGATGTTGAATCCAAAATACACTTTTAATCTCTCAGCCTGACCTTTAGATACACATAGACACAACATTACACTTCAAAGTCAGAGTTGATGGGTAGTTTTGCATAGTTCACAGTAAAATTATGGCTATTTATCTCATACTGGGTTTTGATGCCCACTTCATCCCCTGTCTGAAATCCAGCTTTCCTCTGATTGGCTGCCTCTCTCAAACAGAAGGTTTAAACAGCAGGTGTGTGAGGCTTCAGTGCAAGATCTGTTTAAGATGACCATATAAAGACATCTCCATATTTGAATCACAGAGACAAGGCGGGAGAAATCTGTCTGGCTCAGAGCGTATCAAGTGGTGTGAAAGCTGACCTTTTGACCTTATTATTTGAAATTTTGTCATATTTCATATGAGCATCCACCACTGGAACCGGATATATAATACAAGAGAAACAATGACAGGCCCACTTTGAGTAAGAACAAATATGGACGCAGCCGTTGTTGTGCAAGTGCTTGTGTTTGTGTGTTTTCCTCACATGTTGCCAGGTGATGCCTTCTCTCTGATATTCGTCTTGTTCCTGTCTGAGGATCAGCTCGATAAAAAGCTGCTGCAGCTTCTCGTTGCAATAATTGATGCAGAACTGCTCAAAGCTGGCCAAAAACAGCGGAACAAACACTTGAGCAACAACATCAACAATGACTAGTATTCACAAGAAAAGAGGGCGGATGTCAAAACACTGTTGTGACACCCACCTGTTGTTGTCAAAGATCTCAAAGCCATAGATATCCAGCACACCAATTACAGTGTTTTTCCCATGCAGCACTGGGTCGTAGTCTTTCACCTCAATGATGCTGTTGATGCGGCTGACGATCCAGCCGAAAAGCCTTTCATAGAGAGCCTGTAGGAGAGAAGGCAGAGCTAAAAAAATATGATAAAAGGAAAACACGTTACTGTATGTTGTAAACATCTATATTCATCCTCAGTAGCCGTAACACCATTTAGCTTTACTGTTGAGCTATTTTGGGCCTGTTTCTGGCACCTTGGCAAAAGCATCCCGTCCAAAGCAGGCGTCCTGCTCTGTGTGCCCCTTCTCAATGACCTCGCCTCCTCCAGTGGCCACCGTGCGGTACAGGAGGCTCTTATTGACGCTCTCCGGGTCTGTGGCCGTCAATTCTGAGATGTGGTTCACAACTTCTTGTCCCACAATATTAACGCTCTCACCATCGCTCTCAAATTGCATATTGCCCTGAAAAAGACACCATTCTATTTCATTGGATGCTTCAAGTATATTGACCAATTTATGTTTTGCATGTATGTAAAGAAAAGTCATTAATCCGAGCTCTAAAATACCAAAAGCAGAATGGTGGCGAGGATCTGATAAACTGAGGTGATCTCTTCTTTTGAGAAGCCAATAACTTCCAGTGCGCTCAACACGGCTTTGTGGCTTGAGCGATCATTGTTGGAGGTCTGGAAAGCGAAGAGATCAAATAAAAATGCAAAATAAAACAAATGGGCTGCTGGGAATATTTTTCCAAATTATGCAAAAAATTTAAAAAAAGATTCATTTTAAAATTCAGACAGTTTAATTTATATCAGTTATTCAAACTTTTATTCACTCTTAAACTAAAACTCTCAAGATGATATACTCACAACAGTTTCCGCTCCCTCTTTGGTATAAACATAAACAGCAGGATCATTCTGCAGGTGAAACGACTGCAGCATTTCATCAGAGCCTCCACGCAGCAGCTATGAAAACACAGCAAATATACCAGCTCAGCACCATTGTGACTGTACAGCTGTGCAGGCATCACTGGGCAGGTGACATTTATTTGTGGAGGTTACATTGCACAGCCTGGTTATAGCTGCGGAGTGAATGTGTTCATGTGATAACTGCGATAACTGTTTTGCAGCAGAAGTGCAGACTGCAGTTTACCTGATAGAACGAGTGGAAGTTCCTCTCACCTCCTTGCTGGTGCACCACCCTGGACTTGAACAGGAAAACAGATTATGGTAGCAAATAAAAAATGCTACCTAAGGTACTCTTACAGTGTTATACGATTATTCTGTGATGACGAAGCTTTTTCAAAAGTTACTTTCAGTTAGGTGCAGTTTCTGTAACCAATGTTAGGGTCATTCCTCAAAATGTGTTACACATTATTCTGTCGCATAATGAAAAATAATGCATTACTTTACTTATTCCTTAGAGGAGGAAAAAACCTTAAGACTACTCCATCCAACTCTTTCTTTAATTCAGGGTCACATGTGGGGCTATCCCGGGTGTCATGAGGTCAGAGGCAGGCAGACGGCCTGGACAGCTCAATAGCCTATAACAAGGTTAGACTCCCTAATTAAGCAAGAGCACACAGAGAGAACCCCAAAAGAATTTGAAACCTGGGACCTTCTTACTATGATTTAACAACTACCACTCTACATCCTATTAGTTTTCTGCTACTGTATTACACGACCTGTGTGACTGCCATATATCTGCAAACCTCAGACAATTAGCATTAGCTGGAATATACATCCATACATGTTTTCTAAGGAGCTTGGATAGAAAAGCAACCGGACTTTCTTTCCAAGCTCAGAACACCATCACCTGGATGACTGAGAACACAAACATCCATATATGTTCATATATGTTCTCAGACTAACTGAATATTAGAGTAAATGTATCCTAAATATATTTGGTCACTTTGAATGCAAAGCTGACAATAAATGCCTATCTGTGTCTGTTTGTTAGAATTTCTTCTCTTTTGTTCACTGACATTAAATGAAATATTTATCTGACAAACTCAACTTCTAACCTTAAAATTTAAAATTTAAAAATACCATTATACCTTTACTACATACTACATACAATTCCCCAAAGGTCAGAGCTCATTGGTTTAAGTTTTTGAGACAAAAAAAAAGAAAGCTTTGGACGCTGAATCAAGTGGGTCAGTCCAAAAGGGAAACGTGAAAACAACACTAATCACTCAGAAAAATTAAACTTGGTGGTTGTTACATTTACACAATTCTAACTTGTAATTTTAAACAAAATAATTTCATGTTTATATGGTGAACGTAATTAAATAGTGTAGGATCTGCGTGAAATTCAACAACTTAATTTGTTCCAGTTGAGATGACATGATGCAGTCTAGTTGGAGTGGAGTGGTTAGCTGACTGGACTCATGAAATGCACAGGTTCACACGAGACTTCAAACCACAGGAAAACCAAACTCACACTACGTAGATGCTATTGCTACTTACTGTGGTTTAACCTGTCAAGTACATAAATGTCAAGAAAATTCTGTATCAAGCCTTATAATCATAGCTTTCCTACTTATTTAAGTCTGGATTGACAGCCCAGTGGCACAGTGGTTAGCACTGCAGCCTGGGTTCAAATCCAAATCCACAGTTTGGCTGAGTTTGCAGGGGGTTCTCTCTGAGTACTCTGGTTTCCTCCCACAGTTAAAAGTCATTAGTTAATTAGTTAGTTGGTAATGCTAAATTACCCATAAATGAGAATATACGTGCAAATGTTTGTATGTCTCTATATGTTAGCCTTGCGACACACTGGCCCCACACCTGTCCAGGGTTTACTCCGCCTCTCACCCTGTCACATCTGGGATAGGCCTCAGTGTGAACATAGCATCACATGTTATGCTAGTCAGCTGTCATTTTTAGATATCAAAGACTAATATTTCCCTGGATGTTTCTGAAACACTGGTGAAAAGATTTACCTCCAAGAAGGACTTTCATGGCTTTTCCGAACACCATTTGAGCTTTTACTGGAAGGCTACACATGTACAGTCCACATACAGTAAAAATATAAGCAGTTGCATATGTATCGTCCTAATAAACTATTATGCTTTAGTAAATGAGTTAGACAGCAAAAGTAGTGTGGAAGAAAAGAATTTTCACAGTGCTGATGGTTTTCTTTTGTCTCTGTTGTGGTGTCAAAAATTCATTTTTCCAGGAAAAACTGTCTTTGCTTTTTGTTTTTTAGACAGCAACAACCCCAGTGCACCATGCAAATAAGACCAGACCACCTAGTTTTGGAGGAAAAAGTCCAAATCTCCACCTTCTGTATTTCTAGCTGTTTCAGTTTTTCATCTCTGGATTTTTTTTTGCTGCTTCAAGACAGCGTGGTTATTTCTGCCCTCTGAGAATAAATCATGGCACCATCATTTAAACTGGATCTGAGTGTCAGACGGTTTTTTAACAGAGCGGATAAATACAGCAGCATCAAGTACCCCCAGGTGAGCAATTCATTAACGCGCAGCAGCAGGAGGATAGAGGCTTCACAGACACATCTATTCATGGATGTTCCCTCACACCTCTTTGTTATCACCTCATGAAACATTCATGTTCAGCAGGAAAGATGTAATTTAAAAGCTAAATGAGAAGAACTTTTTGGTACTTTTCAGCAGCGGCTCGCTGTGAAGGCCCTCTCTCTGCAGTTTAAACCCTTTCATCATCTCACCTTCTCCAGCAGGTAGTTGTTGATGTGTCCTCCGGTGGGATCGCCGTTGAAGTTGAAGTTGATGTCCATGTACTTGCCGAAGCGGCTGGAGTTGTCGTTGCGATTTGTCTTGGCGTTCCCAAAGGCCTCCAGCACACAGTTGGACTTCAGCAGCACGTTCTTCACACTGATTGATCACGTTGTGGTAACCAATGATGGATTTACAGAATCAGCCATGAGGGAGGTAAAGCGCAGTCAGAGGAATAGAAGAATGACAAGTTATTTATGGCAACATCACATTAAAATAAAACTTATGAACCTAATGATCATGTGAGGGCTCACCTCTCGACATCTGCCCTCTGGCTTGGGTTTGTGATTGCTGCAATGTACTGCATGATGTATTTACTGGCTTCTGTTTTTCCGGCCCCACTTTCACCTACAACACAAAAAATGTTTCACAACCTTTTTGAGCATGGAAGTGAATATAATATCAGAATATTTACATGATGTGAAAAAATGGCATCTCACTGACAAAAGGATGTATTTAAGCAGCATGTCATCTAATGAATGAGGATACAGACATTTGGTCAACGCAGTAATAATCACTATCTAGCAGATCATATTGTTTGACAACCTTCATAGTCCTATATCTATTCCTGTCTGCATAAAATAAGTCTCACATCCTCCCTGCCTACAGAGTGAAAGAAATAAGTAGTAAAATACAGTATACTTTATTTATGGGAAAAGGTTGAAAAAATGCCCCTCTTAAAACAGCCAACAAAATACATATATACAAAAAAAGCTTGCATACACAGAACAGGCATGTATCTGAATACACATATATTTACACAATGATAAAACAGTTTGATCAATGAGGTGAAAACGACTCAAAAAGCACTCAGAAATAAACTTAAAAAATCAAACGTAAGCCAAACACCTAAGTTATGGTGTGACTCATCACCTGATGACATCTTGGTTTTGACCAAAAAAGAAGCATAAATTAAATTCCCAAAAATACCTAGCTGAGTATTAAAACTGCAGAAAGCGGAAACCCAACACCAAACACAGGGCTGATTTGTGTATGTGAAAATACCACAGCGTAATTTCTTTTTACCTTCATATAAGTAAAACCACCCTGTCCCATGCTGTCACCTGTTAAACCCTAAATTGATTTTACAGTCACTGGTTTTGACTGTATCTCAATTCTGTATCCCTATAGTAAAAACCTGTATAGGTTTTAACTATACTAATACTACCATCCTGATCTGATCTGTGATTAACAGTGATAAAAGTCTCCCATTATAGGACTAGTTTTTCTAAAGCCTGAAAACAGTGTATGAATTAACTCCAGGAACACTGTGATTACAATTCAGTCAAAGGTCACTGCTGATTTTTAGTAGAGGGACTCAAAAAATGTATTTTTAAATCCAGATTTAGGCAAGCTGCCTGTTCAGGTAATGATAGAAAACCAGTTTACTAATTAATACTGCTACTGGTATAGCCACCTTATTTGGTATAGTTACAAGTACAGCATCGGTGCTTCCTTACTGTTAATTATTTTCCTAATTAATTAAATAACTTTTGTCTCTAGCATTAACCTCAATGTCCCAACATAACAGTTAACTTTGGGATTAGCATCATGCTAGTTAACTAAGGACCTTGGAAAAAAATAAAGAAAGCGACTGGACTTCTTTAAGTGGGTTGAAAGGCCTTCACAACACTTAAAGAAGTCCAGTCGCTTTCTTTGGTAGTGTAGATCCTGAGACTACCATGACCTGAATGACCGAGAACCTATACAAGCTAGTTAGCTTTGCGTTTTAAATGTTAGCATGGTGCTTTAACCTAAATGTTCACCATATTATCATGTTAACTGTTGAATTAACAATGATATTAAGTGCTAAGTGCAATGTTTTCATATTAGGTTGAACATTTACCTTTACAATAGAAAAATCCTAAACAGTTAAAATTATAGCAACCTGATAACTTACACTCACTAGCCACTTTGTTAGCCGCATTTGTTCAACTATTCATTAACGTATCTAATCAGTTAATCACATTCCAATACTTCACTCTTCATGTCTACTATAGACATGAAAGTGAGTTCACTGTACTCTAATTTGCTCAACAGTCACTTGATCACCTTTGAGATGTGGTGCAATGGGTGAATGACATCATGTGCAGCAGACAGATCTGCAGCAACTGTGTGATGATGTCATGCGAACATGGACCAAAATTTTAGAAGAATACTGCCAGCACCTTGATGAATCCATGTCATGAAAAATTAAGTCTGTTCTGAAGGCAAAAAGGGGTTCACCCTGGTGCTAGCAAGGTGCACCTAAATCAATTTTACATTTTTAATTCCATATTTTTGTCAAAGCACAAACGAAGAAAAGCAGAGTCATACTTAAGAGGGTTCATATTTTGACTAAAGTTTAGTTTTCTCTTTAATTTCCCTTTAAGTAGCTTTAAAGTTGTTAAAATGATCTAATTCCTCATCGGATTGTTCCAAATATTTCATAAACATAAAATCAGAGAAACCAAAGAAGGTTTCATCATTGAACAGAAATCCCACCAGTCAGACATTACAAGCTTATTATGAGGTTATTGAAAGTAAACAGCAGTGAGGTTAGTCTGACCTGATATGACGATGCAGGTGTCTTTGGCCCGTCTCTTCATGGCTTTATAGGCAGCATCAGACACTGCATACAGGTGAGGAGGGTTTTCATACAGCTCGCGGCCTCGGTACGCTTCAATGTTATCTTTGCCGTAAATGTCCATCTGTCTGTATGGGTTAACGGAGACGACCACTTCTCCGATGTAGGTGTAGATTCGGCCCTTCTCAAACCTGACAAGACAAAAGGCAATCACATACACCTGCTGTTATTAAAGATTTGTGATATAGATTTTCCAAATGCAGTACCTGCAGACCTGCTGTGCACATTTGAGATTAAAAGAAGTCACAAAACATAGCATTCAGCCATAGAGTCAAGATCAACCACAGATCAGCTGATCTTAGTGCTAGCTCATATCTACTTATACCCTTCTACACAGCAAGTTAGCAAATCAAATGCATGTATTAAGCTCCTTTGTGCATGAATAAGCCACTGTGCAACCCGCCTCTACCCCAGCCCCCTTTCTTCAATACTTTTTCTGACTCAGCCAGTGTCATATATTTTCTATCTGTATCTGTTTCTCCAGTTACTGTAGATTTAACTACCAATTTCCTTTTGACTGTAGTGGTCCAGTCTGGACTGTATGTCAGATAGAATTATGTCGTTTATTCACTCTTTTGTTAACAGGTATGCAGGTGCAAGTTAGCTGCATTTGCCATTTTTTCACAATGCACATGAAAACGAAGATCACGCACCACTATGTCACAGCTGACAGGAAGTGACACAAGTGTCTGCATGCTGAAAGCAGGAAATGAAACTTGCGGCTCGAAGGGCGTCACCATGCCTTGGGTAATCTGACTGTGGGTTTGTTGAGCTGGGAGGGGTTAAGACTACATGCCACGGAGGTTAAACAGGTTGCTAGAATGAATAAGACCTAACAGTCGTGTTGCATGTGTAGCTTTGTAGATGGTAGGTGTTGTGTTTGCTCAACATGTGGCAGAAATGCTGTGTCTCAACTCAGAGGTTGGAATCTGTCTTAAAGAATGATTACTGTTTATTTCATGGTGTTTTCCATTTAATGTGCTTGTGCTGGCTCTTTGCATCAGGCTAAGTTTCAGGCTCCACCAGGATATGAAAGTAAGTTCAGACCACTTGCATAATTGTCTAAAACTTTAACCTAAAGACCATCAACATAATAAAACTTGCGCACGTGCTTTTATTATAACCGTTGTGTAATTTGTTAGTTTATTGTTCACCCATAGAGCCAGTTTAGAATCACCAATAAACAACTATTTTTTGGTATGTGAGAAGTAGCTTAAGTACCTGGGCAGAACTCACAACAGCACAGGAAGAACGCACAAACTCTTCAGAGAAAAGCCAGCCAGCAGATAGGAAACAAGGAATCTTTTTGCAATGAGGCCATAGTGTTAACCACTCCCTGATCAGTGGTGTGAATGTGAGTGTGAAACATTATCTGTCTCTCTGCATCGGTCCTGCGATTGACTGTTAACATAACATTACACCTGCCTCTGGCACTGTGACAACAGAGATGCGCTCCAGGCCCTGAACTGGTTCAGCGATTAAAAATAGATGGATGAGTAGTTTATTGCATCTAATTCATTTTATCTGCTCCAATCTGCGATCGTGCTCCTGACTTTAGTCATGCTACTAACTGTCAGACACCAAAACTGCTTCTTCTTTTGGCTGTTACCACTTAGGGTCACCGTAGTAGGAACAGTTCTTTCATCCCCTTCTGTCAAACCCTCTGCATGTCCTCCTGCACTACACAAAAAAAAACATTGTATTTTTATGTTTGTGGACTATCTGTGCATGGTTTATGTATTTAAGGTCAGTTTGAAAGCGTCTATAGTTAAGTTTTCCCAACCTGAGTATTCAGGCAATAATTAGCTATACCAGAGAAACAAGAGGGAGATGTAGAGAATCCTGAATTTGAAATCTATTGGAGAATTTTATAACGGCAAAGATGTTGATAGAATAATAATGCTCAAGAAGAAAAACTTTATCTTGTGCATAGTTTTGAAGCAGTTTTCATTCAGATTTGATGATTATGCAGTTTTTACATGCTAGTTGTCATCACAGTCATTGGAAATTAGAATAGTGTTTTTAAACAACTGACAAAAGTGGCCAAAAACATTTCCAAGACAAGTGCTGAAACCTGTTTCTACTACTACAAGCATCTTTTAAATTTCTTAAAATTATTTAAGAAAATAAGATAAAAACGTGATTTCTTCATAATTTGGAGAATTTGTTTGTTACAGCTGCTAAAAAATTGGTTTACCTTTTGAGGTTTAAGTCATCATGGGTGGTAACTCCAACACTAAAACCACCCTAAACCGTTTAAAAAAATAATAATCTGTGTCAGTTAGAATGAGTTTTTATTTGTTTCTTGATAGCCAAGCTTTGGCAGAACAGTGTAATGAGAGCAAAAATGAGATATTCTTGGTTAGGGCTAGGGTTGGGGTTATGTCTAACTCACCAGTGGCTTAGACCTAAGTCAACTCAGAGGGTCAAGCACAGGGTGTTGCACACTTAACCTCTGGGTGACCAGATTGGTCACTACTAACTGCAAGGTGATGGCTGGATTGCCTGCTGGGAGCAAGTCTCCACACAAGCTCAGACTGACTGAACTGGTTACAGAGTGTTTGTATTCAGGTTATAATCCTACAATATATTATATAGTGGTAAACCTACTTTAAAACAAGGTTGCCCAGCACATATGACATTGTGATCTAAATCCTGTGTCTGTGCATGAAGACAGCAGCTGTAAAAGACAGCAAAGTATTTGCAGTGTTTGACTATTTGTTGCAGTTGTTGTATTATCACAAACAGATTGCATGTAATTGGAAATTTGACCCCATTAAACTGCAGACTGTATCGAAATGTATGCAACTGAATGTTGTAAATTTTGTTTGGGGTTTTTTTGTGAATTGCCTACAACAAACAAGAGTTAGAAATTAGCAGTAGCTGTAAAATCTATGTGTAGCACATCAGTGTTGGAACAGACGGATTGAAACTATGTTAAAATTGATCGTCCCTTTCAAACAACTGGCAGCGAGTGGTCACAAACCGGTCCTCATTTCCAAAGCAACCATTTAAAAAGCAACGAGGCTGCAAGTTCACTGGACACCATTGCACTATTTTTGGTCGTGCCACAGTCCCCAGCCATGATGTTCCTTAGTATGGCTGTAGCATAGGTTAAACTACTTTACATATTAGTAAATGAGGGTTAGTCCTTAATTATTTTTAAAATTTGAATGCAGTCAAATACATCAATCTATGTACTAATGAGCAGTTCAAATTAATTGAGTAAACTACATTAATATTACATTTTATTTAGAGGTGTCAGTAATCGTGTAGTTTCTGTAAGTATTTATAAAGTGTCTCCCAAACGCAGCCAAGAAATGCAAACTTTCTTTCCCCCGAGAGAGTGCAGCCCTTGCAGACCTCAGTGTCTAAAATTCATGTCAGCTCATACAGTAAAAGTGTTCTGACTGACTGGATGGTACTTAGTAGCATTCCCAAATTGCAGATCACTGAAAAATCAAAAGAAAAAAAAAAGAAGAAGAATCTGATAAGGTGTTTGGGCACCAGATATAACATTAAAGGTTTTTCCTTTAATTTGTCACCTGTGTATGAGCTTGGTAGCTGTTCTTTGGCCCCAGACAAGTCTAATCAAGCTTCTGGTGACACTCTAGGCCAGAGTGATGTGAAAAATGTTCATCTAGAGTCATCAGCTGTGCACACGTCAGCTGATATAGTGTGATTATTCTCTCTAAGTCTCATTTAACAGTGTCTGACATTCTGGTGTTTTGGCTCCCTCTGCTCATCCTTCAGGATGACGGTGGCCTGGATAAAAAGTGCTGTGTGACTTCTCACAATTTGAAATGAGGACACGGTGCCCCTCTAAGAGGTCTCAGAGGAAGCGAGAAAAGTCTGGACCGAAAGCATTTACACGCTAAAGGTCATAAAAACAAAACCAGAAAAAAGTTATATCAGGATATTAAACTGTTTAGGTTTGGTCTGTTGCCATGTGTGTAATTTGTTTCCCCTGACAGTGAACGAGGTGTGGTGGTGAACAGATCAACCACAAGCATTTACACTGAAGCTGAGCGGGAACGTGGAGGTAGAAGTGAGTCATGGTCTTTTTTTCCCCTTTTATGTTTTATTGTAACATCCTCTCTTAGCCACAAGCTTATAAATTCAACACGCCAAACTGTTAGTAACAGTATTGTTGTATGAAATGTATACCGTTTTTTTAACTTGCACATGTTAAATCCTGTCAGTATTCCCCTTAATTTATCTTTTATTTTTTTATCCCTTCATAGCTGGCTAAACAAAGTAAAACCCAGCTGTTTTCCTTCACATACCATCCGGTACACGTGAAGTATAACCCTCTGCATCTCTACCATCCAGCTGCTTCCACCCTCCTCCTCCCCTCCCTTCCTCCTCTCTAACTGTATCTCAGGCCTTACCTCAGCTTCAGATTTTCCATAAACTGCTCCATCGTGACCTCGTCCAGGAGCACAAAGTCTGACTTCCCAAACTCCAGGCCTTCCAGCTCCGCCATCCCTGTTTGAACTCGCTAGACACAAAAAAAATAAAAGACAGACCAAACCCGGGGGAACAGAAAGCACCTCAAGGAAGAAGAAAGAGAAGTATGCTCGACTTCTGGGACCCGGTAGTGTGTAGAGAGTGCGCTGTAGGCGTGGCGTGATCTTTGGTTGGGTCTTGAGGCTGTGTTCAGTCAAGTCACTGCTGTGGTAACATGCTACAGCACGTCATGCTGTCAGTCACTCGCCTGTGCCCTCACACACGGACCTATATAAATAGGAGGAGGCTATCTTTAAAAGCTCTAACCGCTTCTGCATCCTCCTCCGGCTCTGTCTTCCTGCCACAAGTCGTCCAAATTTCTTAGCTGTCACTAAACAGTGCTTAACGCACTTGCCTTTCAGCCTTGTCTTTTTGTGTGTCTGTGTGTGTATGTGTGTATGTGTGTAGATGTGCGCTTATTTTTACTTATATCTTTACTTTCCAGGAACAGAAACTCACATTTGAGAAGCTGCCAGACAAGAGCAGTTAACCTTACTAATTTGGGGGTAGAGAAATGGTCTTTATCTCGTGGCATTTCCTTTCTTAGTTCTGCATCAGCAATGCATCATGTTCCTCAGAGATTTCTCTCAAACCAGTTTCCAGTTTGTAGATGGTGAAGATAAGGTTTTCCAGCAGCATGTTAGTATGTACGTATGGGTGATTTAGTTCAGAGCTACAGGAATGTTGACAAAGACAGATTTCCAAACCCATTTTGACTAAACATTGCCTCATTTTTGGCTTTTAGTCAAAGATCATGAAGTAAGAGCTAAATTTAGATAAAAGGTTGACAATCAAAAAAAGAATTATCGAGACTTATCCACTATCAACATACGTTAAGCAGTTATTAACTTCAAGATCACTTAAGATCTCAAATCTAGGAAACGTTCCCACCTCACACCCTCAGAATCATAAATTTTTTTTCTACAATAACTTAAGCCACGCAAAATTTCATCTTCATACTGTGAAAATTTCAGGCTCTTGTAGTGCGTACACTGGGGTGGGGTTGGCACTCTTTGCATTGCCTGATCCGTTTCATTCTCTCAACTGCAAAAGGTGTTAAATCTCTGTGAAAAACTGCAACCTAATTAATTTTACAGCCTTTTCAAGAGTCAGAACCTCAAGCTAAAATAACTTTGACACTCACTCAACTTTAAGCATTAGAGTCATGGGGCTTATTACTGCACCAGTTTCAAATCTAATAACAAAAACAAGCATTAGTATTCTGGATCTTTTATTTAAGATACTTTAAGCTGCTTCTTTGGCACCATGGAGCAACTGCACTGGGTGTTTTATCCGTTATCTGACAATCTGACAAGAAAACATCAAAAAATGTAGCAAAAACACACAAATTAAACTGAACAAACAAGGGACATAAATCAAAGTCAATTTTGTTTCTTAAAGTAGATTTCTCAGTTGAATGGTTAATCTGGCTGAGAAGCCTAGAAAGGCAGATCTTTCCCAGCATATAAGCGTTTCCCTGTTTTACTGTCTGTTTGTCTCTAAATGGGGCTGTAATTCACAAAAAGAGCATCAGTTCTTGTTAAATAGGACTTGAAAGTAGAGATTGAGGACAGTAACTAATCAGGAAAGTGTTTATTGGGGTCTGAAATCAAGTGAGCAGTTAGGTCAATTTTCCACAGAAATCAATACAGTGGAGTTACCTTTTGAAACTAAAACATTGCCCCCTGCTGGTGATCAGAAATAATGCAGGTATTTCAGACGCTTCCACATTAGCTTCGCTTTATAAACGTGGCAGTCTCATATATATATATATGTATATTCAACCTTTTCTCAGTGGTTAATGATGTATTTGGCTTTCAGTTGACTTTGATTAATTATATCTTCAGCCTTTATTAGGAGCATGTTCAGATAAAAATGGTGATGTGTAGAAAATGACGAAAAAACATCACTTCCTCTAAATGTGTCTAAGTATAGAGTAAGACCAAAGACTTGATGAACAGATGTCTAAAAATGTATTTCTTCTCAAACCTTGAAGCCCATTTAGCCCATTTGGATGAACTTATACATTCAGATGATTACATCTGGATTCCTCTCAGCTCCGAGTCAGTGAGTCTAAACTCAATCTGCATTTCCAACATGCTCCTGCAGTTCTCACTTATCTTTCCAAGCACAGACAAGTGACACAGCATGACTCAGTTGGACTGTTTTTGCCATGATGAGCCAAATCCATGCCTGTATTGTCTCTTTGATAAATGGAGTCTGTGATAAGGATAAGAAGCTGCTCTTTATGAAAAACCATAAACATTTTGCTCTAATATAGTGTGGAAGTGCTTTTAAACCTGCATTTTTTTTCCAGTGACCAACAAGCAGCGACTCCTCTGGGCGAAGAAGCCTGGTTTTATATTGTCCTTTAAATGTGCTTAAGGACAATCACGGAAAGGATGTCTCATTTTGTTAAATGCCTGTTGCTTCAATTTCCTGTCCTCCCTTGCCTCCTCCGCTTGTATCTCTTGTGGAAGAGATTAAAATGTGAGGAGAGGAAGTAAGAACGTGCACACTGGGAAATGGACATATTTTGGCAATCCCCACTTACCCAACCAATTATCCAAGAAGAATTATACACATGATCTGGGTTAACTAAACTTTCCCGTCTATTTACAAGAAAAGGGAACTTTTGAACCCTGATCAGTGTGTTAACAACTACTTGTACTTCTAAATGATAGAAACCATATTTGGGGAAAATGTTTTTAGGGTGCGGGCTTTATGCCATATCCTGAAGTCAGACCACAGTCAGTCACGCCATGAATCAAGTAGTTGGTAAATCCACACACTCACTGGCTAATGACTTGTGATTGGTCACCATGCCCTGGATAATTGTTCTTTTTTACTCTAATACTCTGGCTATGACACAAAATCTCTAACCTGTGTCTTTGTTTCTGTCTATAAAGTACTTTTACTTTCTATAAAGTGCTCAAGTAGAGTAGAAAAGCACTATATAAGAGTCAGTCAATTCACCAAACTGGATTTAAAAAACTCCTCCTATGCCTTCAGCACTTTAACAAACTCAGTGCGCAGGTACATCTTAGCCTCTTAAGGTTCTTATCTATTTCAGATATAATGATGACATCATGCTATGAACACTTAGCAACAACCTAAAAAGTCTCAATGCACCGGAAACAAAAAAAAATTAATACATTATATCATTTTTATTTGATGACAGTAACATCTAATTTATATCCACAAGTGCTGAATTATGCATTGTATATTATGACACCATTACACTTCCTGGCAACCACCTAGCAACAGGCTAAAAAATACCTGTTTTTTTTTTTGTTTTTTTTTTCATTTCTTGTCAGTAGCTCAGCAATAACTATCTAATTTATATCCACAAAATTTTAATCATAACTGTATAGCAACCACCTAGCAAAACACTAGCACTGACTATTTTTTATCATTTAAACATCTACAGCCCCTGTGACTTTGTAAGCTTTCCAGCATCACAAACAGGCCAAAAACACTGTAGCTCTTTAAGCACTAGTGACCATAATTCACTTAATTTCCCTAATTAATTCAGCAGAAAATTCATCAAAAAAGTGTACTGTGGTCACAGATTAAGGAAGTTGAGGGTTGTTTTCCCATAGACTATGCAACTGGAAATCTTTTTGCATCTAGAATTGTCGCCCCCTGGTGGTCAATAAAAAGAATGCATTTTTCACGTTCTCCTATACTTTTCAGACACTGAAGCTGTTGTCTGTGGTTTTCAGATTTAATGCTAAGAATCAACTTGCTTAACCTTTAAGTCAGCATGAATGGGGGAGTCTTTATGATAAAAAATGCCCACAAAAGTCATTTGATGAAGTCTGTGAAACAGCTGAAAGCTTCAGTAAAGCACTAACTCGAGGTTGAGATGGGATTGGTGTAATGTGGCTACTCTAATCCTTGAAGTAAAAGTGGTTATCTTTAAGTTTTCTGTCTTGATGAATAAAAAATATGTCAGTATTTGATTTCATGTTCAGTGTGTGACTGAACCTAGCAACAGACCGATAACAAAACAGGGAAACCACAACATGAGGCTGCGTGGAGACATTTCTCACCATACTAATGTGTTTTCATTATTACGTAAAAAAAAAACAGCCTTTGAATCATAATCATAGTCATCAGTGTGTGGTCTTTATGATTTACACTTGATACATACACTTACTGGAAAATAGACGTGTAAAGGGACTTTTTGACCGAAAAACAAAACGCCTACCTACTGCAGGGCGTTCATCTACCTCTTGACATCCTCTAGTCTCCTTTAAGTGTCCAATCCTAAATTTATTACCACAAAATGGCAGCAAAATCCACTCAAACACTCAGCTGGTCTTTCAGTTATTACAGTGAGCCTGTTAGATCCTCATCAATACTTCCTCTCTCAGGTCAGATCAACGTCAGAGACTTTTTCACTTCCTGCTCTGGCTTCCCCTCATCTTTTTCTGACTCCATTGGTGTTACAGGGAAAATGTGATAGCACAGAGCACACAGTCACTAAAAGATCCAGAAGAAAAACACAGATGCATCACATTTCATAAACATCACGTAGCCTTAAAATGTGCACAGTGCTTGTTTTTTATTCACTGGTTTATACATTCACATACTTTTCAGTGAGTCATTATGATCCAGAGCAAATACTGATGTGTGAAAATATTAAACAATGGTGGTGCGACCATCAACAATAACGATTAAGAGATGTCAGTCAACTGAGTTGACAATAAAAACGTTTCATTAACTATTAAACACAGAGTCATGGTATTTTCAGTTAGTCTCACTGTCCTCCCTGTCCTTATCATCCCCCTCTGTCACACCGACCCTCTGCATGTCCTCCGTCACGACATCCTGGTCTTCCTCTTTTACCCCTTCATATTAAGCATGTCCAGTATATCCATTATCCCTCCTCTGCACATGTCAGTGTGTAATCCTTTTTATGTAAAGCTTATTTTTAGTGTTTAAAATGTTTAAAAAATCTACTTTTGAAGAGTGTTGTGTCAGAATCAAAATCAGAAAATTGCACCACAAAACAGAAATAAATCAATGTTTACACTTAAAGTATTAAAAAAGTTAAAGGTAAACAACGGAGATAAACTGGTACATCTACACAGCTGATATTATAAAGATAGGCGTACTGGTAGTGGTGTATCTGCCAGCACTGATAGGTTTAAGGCACAAACCTTCATTATTCAAGCAGTCTGGACTTTATCCAAATGAACCTCTGGAAAATCTCCCAAAGTCTGAACAGCATAAACGACCGACTTCATTCAAGGGTCACCAGAAGATAATTAGATCTGACCCGGCCATCGGCCTGACCTTCGACTGACAGATTACACCATCATCTAACAAGTCTGAGTGTAAAAAAAGCAGCAATAAAACAGTTCAATCATCAACAGAAAATGAACAGAAACCGTCCTTTGGTTTAAGCTCCTTAAACATGAAAACAGCTTTTGTTTTCTTGTTTGAACAGAACATTGATTCACATTTCTTTGCATTTTGAAAGTTTGCTCACAACACTACACAAACTATTTATTCATTTAGTTAATTTTAAGTAACAGTGAGGTTTGAAACTCCTCAGATAATAACAAAAAAGTTGCGATGGAGCTGTTTCGTTAAAATGACTAATCACTGGGTGGCTCCATCCACTACATATTGACCAGCAGTCTCAGAAAAGGGGAAGAAGGCAGGGCTCACCTCTACCTCCTCTGTTGTTGTATGTAATTATTAAACAGGAAACTGATGTGTGTGTTTTTAGTGACGGGGAGGTCCACAGTCTCGTGCTTTATGCAGACATTTTATTACTTCTGGTTTCAGATGCTTTTAGACGTTTGAATGATGAGCTCTGTTTCAGTATTGTTAGTTTAACAGAGTCAAGTCAGACACACTGGTGGCATCTGCAAAATAAAATAAAACCTTCTGTCTCTTTTCAGAATATGTAGATTAATTTTAAATTTTTTGGGTTTTTTTTTTATGTCAAATTATTCTTTGCAGAAACAGCACCAGGCTAGGACATATTCTACCCACAAAACACGTGTTTTGTCTGGATTAAATAAACAACAAATTTATTGTCATTCTCCAGTCGTTATGCTAAGCTAAGCTAACCACTGATCCAGGCTGCATTTCCTTAAAAGGCAAACGCATATTCCTTTCAAGCTTGAGCCCTGGTTTCAGTATTAGTGGTGTAACACCACACAGGTACTCAGTAAGAAAACAACAACATGCATTTAGACCCTTTTAAATACTCACACACAAGAAGAGCAGCGGTGCTCTGTTTTGTGTCAAGAGAGATTCTCTCTCATTTCTTTTTTAAATTTCTATTTATGTTTTTAAATGTGTTCTTTATATCATTAAATGTTAAAAGGTTTTTTAACCTGGATGACTTCTGAGGTGGAGGTTTACTTTCTCTCTCTTTCGGGTTACCATTGACCCTCTTTGCGTCTTTATTTTCACGGGACAGAGACCACACTCTTGGCCGACT